CGGATCCTTAGGACGCCTTTATCTCCTATTTTTATATGGCTTACTAGTCTTTATGGGAATAGGATCCAGAGAAATCCGTTTCAGACCTAGTAGAGGTGTTTGGGTTGGATGATCAGCACTATGAACACTACGCTGAGGAGTGCTTTCGAGTGACGACTTGAGTTTTACGCAGCCCCGTCGCTCAAGACTGGAATATTCGAACCACTATTAGCCCTGGGGTTCATACTTCTGCAGGTTTTCTTGGTTGTTATAATGTAAGGTGTGCTAGCAACCTTGTTACTTAACATGATACTAGAGAGATTTAGGGGTGAAAGACGAGATAATTAAGATATGAACTACATGAAACAGGAATTCGGGAAGGAAGAATTTAGTGGTTTATGACATAACTACAATGAATGGGACCTGAAAGTACTCCAGCATTGCAGCTTTACCTTTAAATGTTCTAGTTAGTAACTTCGCGTGTAACCAGCAACATGTTTACATGTCCTGTGTTTGCGAGTGAATGAATTTTTGTATGCTGCCAAAGCAACTAGGAAGAGAGCAGTTGATCGAGACAGCTAAACATACCGCACAATGGTTCTCACTTGGAATAATTCTGTTTCAGTCAGCCAGATGCAACGTAGAACTTCATACGTAAGTACATCAAATACAAATCCAATAGTAGAAGAGGTAGTAAAGGTATTAGAAGTAATCGGAGAGGTTAGGATTAGAGGATATTATGAGAATGAGAAAAGTATAGAAAGTCAAAACTAGGAGTGTTGAAGAATCCAGAAGATTATGATTTGAGAGAACACAAAGAATAAATGCACCGGCACCATTGCGAACGATTTTGAGCCACGTCATTCAAGGTCTCTTTCCATCGATTATTGTCATCTCGCGGACCCCAACCAGGTAGTCGACAGTTACCGACATGGCTAAGTCCACTCGTCAATGACTTCATGGATTTGTGCCATGTTTTGGTTTGGTCGCCCCTAACTTTCTTCCAACCTATTCCCACACTACAAAACAAAGCTCGTCGAGGTAGTCGGTGGTTGGGCACACGCAACACATGTCCCAACCACCTCAACTGATGAAGTGTCACTACTGCGTCTATTGATCTGACATTCTTACGTAGCACCCGTGTCCTAATAACAGCGAAGCTCACTCGGGTGTCCCATGATATACGAGCAATGTTTCGAAGACACCTATGATCGAAAACCAGTAATCTACGGATATCTTCTACTCCCACTGGCCATGCTTCACAGCCATAAAGTAAGACGGAGCGAACCACTGCACAGTACACTCGTCCTTTAGTCAGCAAACGGATATCTCGCCTTCGCCATAAGGTTGTTTCTAGGAGCGTGTCTACGACAAAGTTAAACGAGAATGGAGAGAGTTGACATCCCTGACGGACACCACTTGATGTAGAGAATTCAGATGACAGTTCGTCATAAGCTGTCACCCGACCAGTAGTTTTAGAGTAGAGAGCATGTATAGGGTTAATGTACTTCTTTGGTACTCATTTCAATGACAGACACTGCCACAGAACCTCACGATCCACTGAGTCAAATGCCGCTTTTAGGTTCAGGAAAACAACTATTGTAGGACGCCTAAATGTGTGTCTATGTTCCAGGATCAGTCGTAGTCTGAAGACGTGGTCTATACAACCACGTCCAGGTCGAAAACCAGACGGGTTTCCTCGAGTTTGCTCTTCACGAGCTTTCGTTAGGCGTCTAAGTATAATCGAGGCTAACAATTTAGAAACTATATTAGTTAGACTTATTCCCCTGTGATTGCCATAAGAAGACTTTTGTCCTTTCTCATAAATTGGGATAATCAGTGATTGAGACCAGTCGGATTGGATTACGTCCAGTTCCCAGATTCTACCTAAGATCTCAGTCAACCTAGCTGCTAAAACTGGACCACCATCCTTAAATATCTCAGGGGTCAGTCTATCAGGACCTGCAGCTCGCCCTCGCTTCAGATTTCCTAACGCTTTCTCAACTTCATTAAGACTAGGCGGACTTACGTCGATTTGCCATTCAGGATGACTGGAGATCGTGGGTAACCGAAGAGTGGCTCGAGGCCAGTTGAACTGATCCCTAAAGTGTTCTGCCCATCGATCCAGTCTCCTGGATTGAGAATAAATAATAGACCCATCCTTTCCCGAGACAGTCTCACTTACACTAGGATTCCGAATACCAGTTTCCTTGATAAGTCGGAAAAGTCGTCTACTGTTGCCGATCGCCGCTGCCTTTTCCATCGCTTTTGCTTTCGCCACCCACCACTGTTCGCGATCGTTACGTAGGCTTTTTATAAGTCTGCGCCTAAGTTGACTTCGTTCTTCATCATGTTCAGAGCCAGGTGGGATGAGTTTTCGGGCATCCATCAGATCGGTGGATGCTACTGAAATCCACGGCTTCATCCTAGCCTTAAGGTCAACCTTACTAGCAGATATCACTGCTGTCTCCAAAGCCTTTTTGATATCATTCCCACCTGCCTCCGGATGGGAATCGCCTACATGGTCGCCTAACTGTCTTTCTAGTTGTTCCCGAAATATATTTTTCGCATTATTATCATTAAGTAAAACCCTAAGAGGCTTCCTTACGGTGTCTTTCCTACGCCCAGTAAGCTTCAAACAAATACGCGCTCGCACTAGGTCATGATCTGAATCTAAACATGTGCCCCACAACGAGTGACAGTCTTCTATCGAACCCCTCCATCGGTGGCTGATGGCGATGTGATCTAGTTGAGTCCAACGTTGAGACGACTTTGGAGGTCGCCAGGTCAACAGATGCTTTTCTTATGCCCAAAGTTAGTGTTTACTAAGAATAGGCGGTTGTCTGAGCGTACTTGCAACAGACGGTCACCATTGTCTGTTCTCTGAGCCGCGACACCATAACATCCACCTAGGTGTCTTTCATTTTCACTTAGTCTACATACTTGAGTATAAAGTCGCCAGCCATTATTACTGTATCAGAGCACCTAGCTTTTTTGCAGGAGGTCCGAAAGCTTTCTGTAAAACTCATCTTTAACCTCATCTGAACTGCAGTCAGTGGGGGCATAGGCAGATACGATGAAGAGGCAACGGCGTCTGTGTCTATCTTTCCGAGTCCTTACTGTCCCGTTTAGTCGTACAGCGCACAAGCGACTATCTAAGGATGCTAAGGATGCCTGTTGCCCTATTTGACACAATGTCCGTACATTAAATGCTCCAACATGTAGACTAGAACGAGGTTTCAAGAAACCAGAAATGACGTTTCGTGAACTCGCATCGTTTGCATAAGCGGTGCAGTACGATAAGGGAATGTGAGTACAGTTAGTTGTGGAGAGTCCAGAGGTATGTGTGGGTGTAGGAAGGATTTGATTTCGACCAGAGTGGTCTCTCGTGCTGTTATGGGTATGAGGGCGGTTGTCACTTCTTGACTGCCCACACCGTGGAAGGTTGTTTCTTGAGGGACCTGAAAAGGAAGATCGATTAGTGTTGGTCTCGGAGACCTGGGAGCCTGACCGCAGAGTCCAAGGAACAACTGCTTGAGGCCGGTCACGCACGGCCTATTTATGAAAGGTTTTTTGAGGATTAGCTCCGTTCTTAAAGGCCCTTAGTGGGCACCCTTACCCAGGGAGACGGAAATCCGTGAGGTAGGGTGAGGTTTAACATTTTTTAGGGTCGGCCTTTTCTAACCCTTCCTTCCTTGTGATAAGGCAGCATCGCTGCAGATGCTGGTTGTCCGAGAGAAACTCCTTACCGCTGTCATACTCCTCTACAGTCAGTAGTACGACTTCGCCCTCAGACCTTGAGTAGCTTCTTTTAGTCTCATCGTACTCCAATCGATCACCCTGGCATGGTAGGACCTGCAGGAACATATGTTCAGGCCAGTATAGCTCGGTTGGGTCATCACGATAGGCAAGCCCGACCACCACCTCAAGATAGCAGCTACGGTCGGGAATGATTCTGTTTGCCGGGAACTGTACTCAGATTGTCAACTAGTGAATGTAGACAACTTTGATATCTTCGGAAGTGAACAAATGTCCCGAACTGGAGTTCAGAAAAGGATTGTTTCCAGTAGATAGAGAGAGCACAACGAAGCCACGTGAATTTCGAAATTCGCGTGCAGCCAATATCTTTTGCACAATAGTCGAGTGCAGAGATGAGCAGCGAAATAAGTGATAGTGTTGAAATATAAAACTCCAGCATTCGGGATTATTGCCTATGAATTACAGGATAATTAAAGGTGATCTGATTTTGCAATATAACATATTAAGTACTCCAAACCATCCCAGTCTGAGCATCTTACCGATGTTTCACCACCACTCCCTTCGAGGCAATCCTCGAAAGATTGCACATCAAAGAGCGAATACTCAGATTCGTGCAAACTTTTTCTCATCGCGAGTCGTCGCAACTTGAACTGCTCTCCCAGCCGAGGTGACCACAGCCCCCTCAGTAGACAGCTTTAAGAAGAGACTTGATAATCACGTACTCACGTAAGGATTATCGTCTCCCTCTTGGACAAGCTAGTTGGACCTGCTAGTGGTTATCATTTCCATCTCCTCAGATCACTTACTTAATCTATTTCGCCTCTCATCTTTGTTCCCTCCACCTAGCTTACACTACGGTCCTCTCTCACAATCTTCACTGGCAATTAATAAACTAAATTCAAATTTTTTATCAAATTTTATTCATATTAGCACTAGAATTTTATCCTTATTATCCTTATTATCCTCATTAGTCTCGACATTGCAACTAACTGATCTTCGGTCTGGTAATGTAATAACTGCTGGTATCAAGAAACCCTACTGCCCTGAAACAAATGTTTTCATTTAAATCCTGAGACACAAACTTACAACCAACTGCCAACTGACTAGAATTAGACAACCGAGTGGCTAGACCTCCATCCATTAGACTCTACCGAACACCTGGAACTGTACCGAAAGAACAAGAATCGAGCGCAAAGAAATCGATTAGTTTACACTAGCTCGTGAAAAAGATATTGGATATTGGATATTGAAGCTCACTAGCGACGACTTAAAAGGGTCAATTTGGTTCCTCAAGGTCGAGATATAGATTTGTGGTCGTGTTATCCTAAGAAATGTCTTTGATCACCATTGACAGGTCACTCATAGAGTCGGAAACTGTAGGTCATTTTTTCCCCTAACGAAATGTAACTGAAGGACTATGATGATTCAGTTGATGTGGACACTTATGAATGTTCATCCAGAAGCAGGTATTACATGTTTATTATCTATTTTGCAGTCAAAGTGAAGATTTCATGATGTGCAAAGGAACAGCTGTAGGCTTAAATATTCACTCCAGAAGAAAGTCTAGTTGCATTAAATCTAACGGTATTTTGCCCTTCTTATATATTTTTGTGAAGATGAAATGCAGGACCATCTGAGAAGAATTATCTCTATCCTTCGATTTGGAGACTATATTCAACTGGTTGTTACTCATAGAATTCTTATAGTTTTTAAAGATTGTCAAGCTTCAGAGTTCCAATTCAATGCCTCACCATCACAGATATTGTTGTGTTATTTCCACCTATGGAAAGTTGGAAACTGAGGAATCTTCTGTGTTGGGTGTAGATATAACTGACGGAAAAGCTACTGTGGGTTTGGTTTTAGAAATCTGGCAAGACATGTCAATCAACTTATGTGGCGATGGGTAGGCGCATTATTGGCTTTTGTGTATGGGTACAATTGACAGTTTTTTTTACTAATTTGATAATAATTTAGATTTAATGTTCTTAACGTACAAATTTTGGATACAAACTCCTTTCATACTGTCGGATCATCGATATACCTGACGTTTTTTTGTAGAATGGTCGATCATCTCTCACTTCAGCTAATAACTGTGAAAATGAAACCAGAATATCTCCAGTGTATAGAAAACCCATTTCCGTACATTTGTAACACGAAACCAGATAACTCTGGTGGTGTTTCGTTCTCTGAGCTACAAGTTTTCTCCACCATCTGAAATAACTCTGGTATCCAACTTTTTTGTTAGGTTTCTAGGCATAATTCCCTCTTCCAAGTAACATAAACTACTCTGTATTGATGTGAAAAGTAATACAGCTGATTGTTGCAGATAATCAAAATCATCATGATTTTTACTTGTGTTGACCTAGGGATTCTAGCCGCTTTTATATTCTTATGTAAACCATAAAGTCTGTCGTATTGTCAATAAGTTGGACGGTTTTTATAGATGTCTGGAGAGTGAACTAGTTTGTTCCCTTGGTTTTCTTCTAGCCCACCCATATCCCAGCTAGAATTATTATCAATTTCAATTTAGGAAAATGAATCATGTGGTATACGAACGTTTTCGGATCACAAATTCCATTCTTCCTTTCTTTAAATCTGTAATTTTCTATTTTTTCAGTCTTTTTTTAATTCGCGTTTTATATTTCTTATTAAAAGAGGGTTCGAATTAGTCACTAAAGATACAGTAAAGCAGTTCAAACCTGTTTCTGTACAAGCTTTATGGGCCGCATTTCAGGCTGTCAACAAAGCATGTCAGGTGGCTCGGGCTAATGCCTATTTCTGCCGCGGTTTCACTCATGATTGGGTTAGTTACTACCATAGTTTACCAGCGTCATCCACGTGCCAAATACAAGAATGGATGAAGACGGATGAAAGTGATGTATTCATTCAGTCCTTATCTCATTCCCCTCTCTCGGATAATGCAACTGACAAAGAGTAAGTGGTTGGTTTCAGTGTATATAATGATTTTTCTGTTTTAGAGTGCATTTCTCCTGCAATTAAAACTAGATATTCATTTGTGTAGTACTTAGGTATTCGGCATATACATTCCATCTATATCAGTTGGTATGGGTTCCAAAGATCTACTTGTCTCTTGAATTCATAGTTTTTTCCCCGGTTCGAACATCGCGATCGTTCAATCGCTAGTTATAGATGCCGTAGTGGTGTCGGCAGTACATTTGCTTTAACTTTTTCTTACAATTTTCGTTTAGGGTTCATGTTATTTTTAGCAGAATACAGCCTCACTTTGTGCTATCGGCTTTATTGTTGTAATCATTTATGACACTAACAAAAAACCCACCAACTGTGACTAAATTTTTCGTCATTGATCGACCAGTCACGAAAATTCTGACTTACTTAAATCTCCCGTTTTGGGCTACAAAAAGCCGTGTAAGTAGTAACGAATATTTTCTCATTGTTCTAATTCACATCTCGTATAATTATGCATTATAAATACAAGACGATAACTTACCGGGATTTTCAAATCTCGATAGGCTTATAAATAATATGCTTTTGATATAGAATTATATAACCTATATATTGTTAACCTGCTTATTCTAATCGGTTGAATTTAAACGAATAGTTGATTATTTCTTTATATTATGGGACTTCCAGAGAACCTGCTACTTATAACCCTTCTGGGGATCAAACCCAGTACTGTCAGGCCTCTCAGTAAACACTTAACCTTCAAACTACTGGTTTAGTTTCTAATGGCTTAGAAGCTAGAAATATGAACCTTTGAATTCCAGTCTAATGGTCTAAATTTGTTCATTTAGCAGTTATCTTTTCATGTATCAGTATGTAGTAATATATCAGTAGTTATTTAGTTCCGTGTTGACTGCTTCAATTATCTCGAGAGTCACATCAGTGCTGATGGCCTGGTGACTGACGAAATCTTACGTACGAAGTTCCACGTTGCTATTGATTGATTGATTGATTGAATCTTTCTGATTACTTCTAATACTTTTGCTACCTCTGTTACTATGCCCTCCGAACCGTTATGAAGTTGAGAAGGCTAAAGGAAATTTAAAGCGAGGGTGAGCAGCAGGTCCTGACAGGCTTACCCCTGAGATATTTAAGGATAGTGGTCCAGTTTTAGCAGCTAGGTTGACTGAGATCTTAGGTAGAACCTGGGAACTGGACGTAATCCCATCCGACTGGTCTCAATCACTGATTATCCCAATTTATGAGAAAGGACAAAAGTCTTCTTATGGCAATCACAGGGGAATAAGTCTAACTAATATAGTTTCTAAATTGTTAGCCTCGATTATACTTAGACGCCTTACTAGTGCTCGTGAAGAGCAGACTGGAAAAAACCGGGCTGGTTTTCGACCTGGACGTGGCTGTATGGACCACATTTTCACACTACGACAGGTCCTGGAACACAGACACACATTAAGGCGTCCTACAATAGTTGTCTTCCTGGACCTTAAGGCGGCGTTCGACTCTGTTGATCGTGAGGTTCTTTGGCACTGTATGTCATTAAAAGGTATGCCAAAGAAGTACATTAACCCTATACATGCTCTCTACTCTAAAACTACTGGTCGGGTGACAGCTTATGACGAACTGTCATCTGAATTCTCTACATCAAGTGGTGTCCGTCAGGGATGTCAACTCTCTCCATTCTTGTTTAATTTTATCATAGACATGCTCCTAGATATAACCTTATCATCGTCTGAATTTTCAGGAGTCGACTTTCTACCAGGAAAATCGCTTACTGACCTAGAATATGCTGATGACATAGTTATATTCGGTGAAGACGCTAACAAAATGCAGTCTTCTGACTACCCTAAGCAGCAATGCAAGCATGTTCGGGATGCGGTTCTCCCCGTCGAAATGCGAGATGTTGCTTCAGGATTGGGTTGCATCGGTACCTGAACTAGTGATAGGGAGTGTACTAGTCAAACGTGCAGACCGCTTCACGTATCTGGAGAGTCTCATCAGTGCTGATGGCCTGATGACTGACGAAATCTCAGCACGCATACAGAAGGCTCGGTTTGCTTTTGCCAACCTGCATCACCTATGGTGCAGGCGAGATATCCGCTCGCTAAACGAAGGACGAGTGTACTGCGCAGCAGTTCGCTCCGTCCTACTATACCGATGCGAAACATGGCCGTTAAGAGTAGAGGACTTTCGTAGGTTACTAGTCTTCGATCATCGATGTCTCTGAAGCATTGCTCGTGTATCCTGGGACGACCGAGTATGCAATGCTATTGTTAGGAAAAGAGTTCTAGGTAAGGATGGCAGATCAATAGATGAAGTGGTGAAACTTCATCAGTTGAGGTGGTTGGGACATGTGCTGCGTATGCATAACCACCGACTGCCTCGGCAAACTACGTTTTGTGGTATAGGGATAGGCTGGAAGAAAGCTAGGGGCAATCTGACCGAAACATGGTACAAAACAATGAAGTCGCTGAAAAGTGGACTGAGCCATGTTGGTAGATGTAGGCTAACTGGTTGGGGTCCGCGAGACGATAGTTACCGATGGTTAGAGACCTTGGACGACATGGCTAGGCATCGTTTACAATGGCGCAGGAGCATCCACTCTTTGTGTTCTCTCAAGTTCTAACCTTCTGAATTCCTCCTAATTCCTACCTCTCTCCTTCTAAATTTATCTTACAGAATTATACTTTTCAAATCATATCTTCGCTCCCTAATCTTCTCCATTACCAGTAATACTTCTACTATCACTATCACTCTTAGATTTGAACTGACAGTTATATTTCTGTGCTAATGTGGTACGGCGACTTGAACTGCTGTACTTACATACAAAGTTCTGTGTTGTACCTGTCTGTCTGTCTCCCTTTTTTTATTTTACTAAAACCTTTAGTTCACTGACTCTAATCAACTTTTAAAACTTCCTTTAAATTTTATCGTTTATTTAATTCGACTCATTTTTATGTTAATGTAAACTAGTTGCATTCTTTAAATTGTTCGTTTAATATTATGTATCAGTCCATATCAATAATAAGGTTGGATTTGATAGTTACACATAAATTTAGCATTGGTTAGAGAGGTAATAATAAAATGATAATATTTCGGTGATATGCCAGTGGGTAGAAATTTGTATTTTTGATGTTTCGTGCTTTGATGTTGGTCACTTCTTCCGCCTAAATAAATAAATAACCGAGATAAATTGACACAGGTTTCAAATTCGGGAATACACATTTCTATTCACTGGGATAACACCAAAATATGATTATTTATTATAGTATTTGATGCCACTTCCACTCATTAATCTCCGACCGTGGATTAGTTTCATCTCCTAAATCACAAGCAAGAGTGTTATATATACATATACGATATACGCTAACTGACCAACAAAGTTTCCTTTTTTCCAAATAAGCTGAGCTGAATCAACATAGAAAATAAACTGGTTATCCACGATGGCCTAAATAGTTAGACTCATTTCATTAACGTGAAGAGGAAGTTTGGTGAGATTGAATTTGACAACAATGTAATTGCTATTGAATTTCCATTATAATCAGTCTTAATATCAATGAATGTATCTCCTTACTCACAAAAATTTATCATGGTTTAACTAGTAAAAGTTTAGTCACAGTAATATGGTAAACTAATTAGGTCATATTTAGATCGACAACCATGCTTATGATTAAAAACTTGATCAATATGAATATTTTATTTTTGTGTTCTATATATACTGGTACCCTATCATTATTCAATGCATGTAGTTTGAACTTCAGTCAGCATTTGCTAGAAAATAAGATAATATGACGTTGGTTTCAATGACAGCGATTAGTAAATGTACACTACCTTAATAATAATAATAATAATAATAATAATAATAATAATAATAATAATAATAATAATAATAATACCATAAGCTGTTTAACTTTTTTTTTCTTGATCCTCGCTGATATTTCGTCATAGTTGTCATTAACAATTCGTTAACATTCATCAGATTAAATATGTTTGTATGTATATGTTCAAACAATATTTGTCATATGAAGTTTATATCATGTGAATACGTTGAGTATTTTATTATACCTGTGTACGTACGTATGTATGTATGTATGTGTTAGTGGGTGCTTAAAGTTATGCTTATAATTATTTGTCTTTATTTGTCTCTTTTTTCTTTTAATGTAGACTTCAGGCAGTTCACTTTTTAAGAATTTTTTTTTGTCACATGTGTACCATTATTGTTTTAGAACTATGTATAATTTGTTTCTTAGTAGTGATTTTAAATACCTTATGTACTTAAAATGTAATTTAATACTTTGTGAATATATTAAGAAGTAGTATTTCTATAATATTAAACAGATAATAGATATTTTCTCCACGGACTAGTTTAACTTTTGAGCATCAAATTATTAAATACATAAAATTGCATTACTTAAATTTGACATAACTTAGACAAAACACTATGCATATTAAAAAGAGCATGAGTTTTATGCAAAGTTACGGTTTTAGTAGTAGTCAGTGTATAGTACAAATCTATGAAGTTTGATTTCTGTTACATGTCACCTTTCTAATTGGCGTAATTTGTCATGATGTCGAAAGTCTGGATCCGTGATAGTTTTAGGTGGTATGCACCAATCTAGATGATTCTTCATTTTCCCTGGAGTCTTAAAGCTTTTATTACTTTATAATTATGTTTTTTGATCCTATCTGCTAACACTACTGTTCTATTCTGATCGACTAATTTTCATTTTATAAGTTAGTGTCGCTAATTTGTGATGTTTTTCAAGTGTAACAATATGAAATCCCAGTGACTTGTTGGTTAAAGCATTTTGTTGTTAGCCATTAGGTTACAAGTTCGAGCCCATTCCGTGTCACTACAGTTTAAGCAATTGAGTAGTATCGTATCAGCTCAGGAAATAAAAGGCTTGGAATCAAATGCACAAAATTATACCTGAACAAGGAGCTTGACCATATGCTACACCAAAGTAGCTCAAACTAATGTAATTCAGTGCAATTTTATACCATGTTGTATTGATTTCAACTCGGTCATATCCTTTAATTAATTACTTTTTTGATTGGTATTTTTATGTTTTCACAGAAAAGAATGTGCTAGAATGGAAGCACTGATCAGTGCAAAATTGCAAGAAATTATGTATACAGTTGACTTAGAAGAGGTGACCGTCCTTCAAGTGAGTGATTAGTTTTTGTCCTTTGGTAAGAAAAACAATGCGATGGTATCGCTTCCTCGTTAATATTTGATATACAGTAATGATACCCAATATTGTTAGTATATATTCTTAAGTTTCAACCCGAACCATTATTATTGCGACATTTCATAATCAGCCGTGATAAGTTCTAATTAGGTCAACACATAAATATACGGATTCAATGCTTCTAGCATACACACCTCTGTTTACATCTGTTCTTCACACAATTTTCAATAATTTCCTTTTTCCACTATTTGAACATGTGTACTCTGTTACACAACCAGAAAATCGTCTTTGTTTTAGTGTTTCGGAATAACTTTCTTCACCAAATGACTCATAACATTTTCTGGAGAACTATTAAAAAAGGTAAAACAGCAGTGAGTATCTGTCTGGTCTCAGTTTTTAGCTCATTTGTCTCAGACATAGTATCGTTTCCATAGAATGATCATCATCATCATTGAGTTTATAACCGCCCAAGGACGTTTCTATGATGTATAAATAAACGCGATTTGTGTGCTGGCTGGGTGCTTGTAGAATATACTTTCTACGCTACATCAAGACCTCATTAGACAGCAGATCAGGGTAGCCTACCTGGACGCTGGTTCACTGTCTCGTTTGCGTTTATCGACTAAGGTAAACCCGTAATAGTTTCAAGCATACCTAATGACGAACCTATCACAATCACATTTGAGAAAGGAAGTTTTGAATTTTGCGCGGAAGTTGTTCATCCATATGATTAAATAACATTCCAGCTGATGTCAGTTTGTGATGAAAACTCCCAGCTCTGATTCTAAACCCTAAAACCCAACTCTAAAATGTGTACGGCCGTTTCTTCCTGGTATGGGACTCATCAGCAGCACGCATCCACTCGCAGTATTCTTACCCAGGGCCTTCGGTCTTGCGCGCGAATGCCTAACCTCTGGATCACTGGGTCGGCATCCAACGGTGTTGATGTTCAACTCTAATCTATCTAGGAATTTCGCGCCACCCCATCCATTTGTTTTGGTAGTTACTGCCTACACCGGATAGGGTCTTCTCACTAAAACTCCGAGAATATTCCCACGAAGCCGGTCACTAGTGAGCACATTGTACGATTTCTCAATTAAAATTATGGGGTTAGTTGTTTACACACATAAATTATCAGTCAATCATTTTTAGACCACCACTAGAAACCTGGAAGCACTGGACGGCCGTTTCGTCCTGATATGGGACTCATAGGCAGTGTGCATTTACTGATGATGATCTCCATAATTATAATTTAAAAAGTTATAAATGCTGTTCCGAATCCCTCACACCAACCTATAAACCTCTCTTTCTCGAACTCACATTCAAATATCGCTGACAAACTATAGTCTCACCGATTAGACAGTCAGTAGAAACCTGAGAGCACCGAACATCTCCTTCATGCTAGTGTGAAGAAAACAGAAGTCTAGTTCAGGTGGAATAATATATATTTAGAGAAGACCTAGTTTACCAACACCTTAAAACATCTACTTACAAAACAAGTAGATTATTGACTGTTTTCTGATCTTCAAACTACACTGATCACGCCATGTATTTTGATCTCCTTTCACTCTTTATGGTAGCAACCTTTAGACAATGCCACGCACTACTTATATGTCACTTTGTAAGTAGTGTTCACTACACTAATATGAAACTGCTCAATAGGGCAAGCGTTTGCCCATACTTAGGATTCGAGCCCCAGAGCATTCAAGCATTCAACTGATTATTTAAACTCAAAAGCTGTGCATAAGTTCGTATGATAGGTTTTAACCAACATATTCAGTAATAGAAATACCATCGTATGGTTGCCTTAATCAAATTAATTCACAGTAGGATTCGTCACTGGAAACCCAATAATGTTTCGTATTTCACTAATTTACACGTCAAATATCATTCTCACACCCTAGATTGCTGGTCGTACAAAAAAATATACCAGCGAAGACTTGCCAAAGTTAATAATAATAGCAATAATCACTTCCTTCAATACCTTATATTTGATGAAAGCAAATAGTTCTCAGCACAAAATATGCATCATTATAACAGTTTGCCGTCTTCTGCTGATTTAACTAGTAAATATTCCAAAGAAAATTTTTTATTAAAACGTTGCTTCAAGAGTGATCAAATATCATTCATCTGTTCGCATCAGCAGACATTATCTGACAGTTTTATTCCTTTGATATCTCTTTTCTCATCGCAGAGTATCAAAAAGTGTATAAAATTAGTTAATTCTAACTATCAGTGTTAATGGTGATAACGAATTTCATAATCTTCAGTTTTTAATTTGACTGGAATAATATATCATTAATTAGTTGAAAATATAAGCATTATAAAGGGGCATCGAAATATACATTCGCCATGCAAATTATTGAGTTTTTGAGTGGAGTGGGATACTGCATAGACTCCTAAATCAAAGCATGTGGTTTTCTTAACAAGCCACTCTCCGATCATAGAGATCTAATCGACAAGACAGTGAAGCAACGTTAGGTGAGCAATCCCATAGTAGTCAGTAACCAAAAATAGATGCATCTGTCTATCCGCTAATGATAATTGAGGTCAGTTGCACCATTGGTTTGAAACCAGGGTTTTCCAACTCCCCTGGGTTCATTGTCTTCCTGTAATGTTCATTAGATGCTAATCTGTGTTGTATATGCGTGGTCGTTAGCTTAGTGTTTAAAAGCACTTAACTCTCAACTATATCGTAATTTCAAGTTTTGTTCCATGTAATATCACTATTTTTCTCATAAACGCAACTTAAGACCAATTACAACTCCTCCTGGAGCTCCTCTGTGGCTTCTGCCGGTCCCCCCAAGCCCGGATAAAGATGGGGTTGGTGACCCAATCCCCTAGAAGACTAACTCGCTAAAAACGCTAACCAGAAAAAATAATCCAAACCATTTTTACTCTGCCCTGGGAGTTGTAAGGTCTTCATTTAGAAGAGTGATGACGTCTCATGGTGAAAGCCAAGTTTCCTCAGAAGTCACGAGGCCGATGCTCCTTCCGACAACCAGAGCAGCCAATGTTTTAGGTACATAGAATGTCGAACAACTAAGACTAGCTTCTGGAGAGCTGCTATTTTACTCTGGCCATAAAGGAAAAAATGCCTCACTCAAGGAGTTGCACTGGTACTGTCCAACACAAGCACAAAAGGCACTGATAGGATGGGAATCTCATGGACCCCGGATCACCAAAACCAAGAAAGAGGATATTACAATGAACGTCATCCAATGCTATGCACCTACCAACGACTGTAATGAAGACGTTAAAGATCAATTCTACGAAAGGCTGCAGTCAATCGTCGAGAAATGCTCACCAAAGGATTTGACAATTCTTATGGGAGACCTGAATGCCAAGGTTGGAATGGACAACACTGGATATGAAGACATCATGAGACGACATGGACTGGGAGAAAGGAACGAAAATGGTGTGAGATTCGCAAACCTACGTGCCTTCAACAAACTGGTCATCGGTGGCACAATATTCCCATACAAACGCATACACAAAACGACATAGATTTCACCAGATCACAATACTCATAACCAAATTGACCATATCTGTATCAATAAAAAGTTCAGAAAGACCATGGAGGATGTGAGAACCAAGAGAGGAGCTGATATAGCCTCAGATCACCACTTGCTTGTCGCCGAAATAAAACTAAAACTCAAGAAGCACTGGACAACGAGGCAGAATAATCACAAATTCTAAAATGGCGCTTCTTCGGGATACTGGAATGCTCAGCGAATTCAAGATACTCTCAGCAACAGTCCCAGGGCTTTCACGACCTACTCATTGGTTAGTAAACTGCCATAGAGAACAACTGGAAAGGGATCGAACAGGCAATCACTTCAACATGTCAGGAGGTTCTCGGCCACAAGAAGCACCATCTTAAAGATATGGAACACTGTTGAAACACTGGATAAGATTCAAGAACAAAGGGAACAGGAAGGCAGCAATCGATATCTGCAGAAGAAGCCAAGAGACAAACTGTATTACTCAGGGATCGGTCGTGTGCCGACCAAATCGAAACACTATAGATCATTGTGAAACTATCAATTTAATCGAATTCACCACTCTTCATATACTTCATTGACAACGAGAAAGCATTTGACGGCGTTGACAGGACGACACTATAGCGCACCTGAGAAGATAGTCATCATAATACGGAATTCTTATAATGGATTAAACTGCAAAACCGTGCATTGAGGGCAGCTCACAGACTCATTTCGAGTGAAAACTGGTGTCAGGCAGGGTTGCTCACTCTCACCCTTTCTCTTTCTTCTGGTGATCGATTGAATTATAAACACATCCACATCTGGAGGGGAGCATGGGACACAGTGGACAGCTAGGACGCAACTGGACGATCTAGACTTTGCATATGATATGGCTCTTCTATCGCACACGCAACAACAAATGCAGGAGAAGACGACCAGTGTGTCAGCAGGTCTCAACATACCTAAATGGAAAAGCAAGATTCTGGACACCATCATCGACAATCAAGGGGGATGAGATGCAGGTGTGAAGGCGCGAATTGGGAAAGCAAGGGCTGTATTTTCACAATTGAACAACCTCTAGAACTCCAAATAACTGTCAACAAACACCAAAGTCACAACTTTCAATACAAATGTCAAGACAAATCTACTGTATGGGGCGGAAACTTGGAGAACTACGAAAGCCATCATCTGGAAGAAACAAGTATTAATCAACAGTTGTCTACGCAAAATACTTAGGATTCGTTGGCCAGACATCGTCAGAAATGGTCTACTTTGGGAGAGAACAAACCCGATTCCAGCGGAGGAAGAAATTAAGAGGAAACGCTGGAAGTGGATAGGACACATTGAGTAATGCACGTCACTGAGTCACAAGAGAAGTCCTCACTTGGAACTCTCAAGGCCAAAGGCAAAAGAATACTTACGCCGAGGATCGGAGACAGGCGTGAAAAAAAATGGACGAAACTTGGACAGATCTTGAAAGGGAAGCCCAGGATTGAGTAGGTTGGAAAACACTTGTAGACGGCGTATGCTGCTTTGGGGGTAACAGGCGTTGGCTTCTCATTGATGCATTTTTTTTTAATTAGACGTGATTATATCATCCAATTAACATTTCTGTCGCTGTCAGCTGGAAAAACACTGGGATGCGACCAAACCTAATTATAACACCTGTTCATAATGTCATTAAATATTAGTCTAATTCATATTAGTAAATGCAGACTACCATGTTCAAGCCTACATGTTAACTACGATAAGTGGTTGGTGATGTTAGATGATATGAACTTAGAGTCAATCACAACTGAGCAGTTTCGTTCACTATTTTCATCTAGTTCCTTCGTGTATTTCATCTTCAACCATAATGTCAACTTCGAGTCCTTAATATTATTACTGCAATGATTATTTGCTATTCATTATATAAATATATTGTCGTTTCTTTTCTTATCTCTTATTCTTCAACTTTTTCTTTCTATTTTTAAAAAAAAAAGCTTCGTGAACGTTTAGAAGAAGAATTCAAACAACCATTACACCAATTTCGTCATTTTATTGACAAACAAATTTTAAGAATTTATGGTCAAATGGATGAAGCCAGTGTAATATTTGAACATGTTCTATTAGGTACAACATTTAATGCATCAAATCGTGATGAATTAGAACGTCGTAATGTAACGCATATTTTAAATGTAACACGAGAAGTGGATAATTTTTTTCCTGGTGATAAATTTGAATATAAAAATATTCGAGTATACGATGATGAACAATCGAAATTGTTACCTTATTGGGAAGAAACGCATAGATTTATCAATGAAGCTAAGTAAGTGTTTTACTTTCAACCTGGGGTATAGTTTTTAAAGATACCAGTTCTGCGTAATTTTAGTGATTGTGTTCACTATTTAATTGATACTGCCTACAAATACTCGAAAACTAAATAATATTGGATAATCGTTCTATCCTAGTATTTGTGACACATCAATAGCACGCATCCATGATCCTGTAAAAAATTGAACTTGACTATCTTCAAGTCTTGTGACGAAATGCTTATTTGTAAGCATCTACTTTTAACCTCAGTTAGATATATCAATGAGAGAAGTTGTACGAAATAACGGTCACAGTTTGACACCCAGAATCCATTTTGGATTGATTACCATTGAAAACTTGAAAATACCAGGTTGCTGCTTTTCCTTAGCATGGAACTATTCGGTTATGCACGTGCGTAATCCCGCCTTGGATTTTGCAGCTCGTTCTCAACAGTTAGACTGCTGACTTAACAAGCTATTGTTTTGATTTTTAAATTCAATCAATTCCTGATCCTATCAAACCATTTTCCGATACCGTTGGTAAGTAATTGCTTTAAATTAGTCATGGGTTCGACCGAAGATGAGGTCGTAAACTCAATATATCGATTAGCTACAACTAAATAATTTAACATCCATGACCTGTCTTGGCATATATATATATGTTCAATGTATTTGTGGGTGTGTTTGATAAAAAATAACTAAATTCGCTAAACTATCATCGGTATTTAATTTTTCTATTGTAAATCTATATTGATTAGTTTTCATTGCCTGATAAGTTCATATTACACTTCTATCCAAATGACTAATTTTGAAATACAGAGAGGGGATGGGGGCAATTAGTGTTATTTTGGAGTGTAAATGACTTCAGTGGAAAATTTATTCTTCTCTATGTTCACTTCATTCGTTTTTTTTAAAATTAATCTTTTCTATGTGTGATTTTCACTGACCTTGAAACTAACATTAGTATAATTATACTCTATATGTTGAATTGCTTACTTTTCATGCTACGAATTTCTTCTTTGAATTTGCTGATAAAATCTGATAACAACTTGAACCGTTATGCAATTTGTTCATACGGTCATACATCAAATGAAGAATAACCGGCTAGCATTCTTTAGTCAGTCAAATGATAAGCAGTGTGAGATCTGGTACACGCATACGTCAGTCGCTACATCGTGTCAGGTCAATAAGATGAAATTAACAAAATCAATACCAGAGTAGTGAAAAAAGTAACAATATTAATAGTAGTAGAAACACTAGACATAAACCAGGTAGTCTGCAGTTATGTATACGTCTCAATTTAACAGAAAATGACTGTGGACGCATGCCAATGTTGGTTTGACCGCTCATAGCTTTTATCTAACCTACTCCTAAATCACCAAACATCATTCATTGGAGTGAACGGTGGTGTACCATAATTAATGCATATCTTGACAACTTTCGTTGACGAAATTTCAAAACCACACCAATCGATTTTCCATTCTTACCTGGTATATCACATCCGTAACATCAACATTATTCACTTGTTGAGCTTAACCTACCTTATATTAGTTGTAGTTACCGAATAAATAGTCAAACTGTTAACAATAAAACCTGGAGATTGGTTTTAGTACGCCTTACGACACGATTCTCTTGTGGTGAAAATCCTGAAAATAGTCAAAATATCTTGTTGTACTTAAATTCTGATAGTCGGTTATTATCTTCAAACAATTAAGCATTTTCTTGTTTTTGTTCGTCTTATTGAGACAACGTATGGAAATAAACCTTGAACTTGTTTCATTTCATGTTTGTATTGCTCTCTTATTATCTGGATATATTTCTTTTATAGTCGATTAAAACATCATGCTATTCCTGTCCTGTCACTTGTTTTTAATCGTTATCATAATTATTAATTCTTTCTTTATAGGATTCTGGGTACTAGATGTCTTGTTCATTGCAAAATGGGTATAAGTCGTTCAGCCTCTACAGTAAGTAAACATAATCTCGATATTTATTATAGGATTAGTATGATGACTCTTAAAAATCTGAAGAGATATTGTGTAATTTATTGTAATCTGATGATTGTGAGAAGGTGGTTGACAGAGAAAGAAGACTATTGACTGAAATCCATGGGGTGTTAAATAGCAGTTTTCTTTAGTTATTGGACTCATTAACAACGTAAACTATGCAAACTGAAACGACGAGATTGAGGCTGGAAAACGAATTACAATATATTTACACTTTATTAAGTCCAGTTGTTCACATTTTTTCAGCCATTATCAGTTCACCGAAATGAAGTACTGGCTCAATAATTAGGCCGTTCAACCTTTAACTACCAGTTCTCAGGTTCGAACCCTTCTCCATCTATTCCAGTTTTCATAAATGCATATTATCACTAACCCCTTACACTTAGAGTGTGTCTGGAATATATGTGCTTAATAAATCAATTGATAAAAAATCAGTCTAACCAATGAAAAGTATTACGATGTTGAGCGAGAAATTAAGACAATTCGACGTAGAAAATGTCACTTTCTAAAACTGTATGATCGTATTTGTTACAGATTAGCATTCAAAAGTCTATATAAAATAAAATGGATGCACACTATATTACTTTTAAAAAAAATATCGAAAGTGTTTTTAAGCATCTAAAACGATTAAGTAATAGTCTCTGAAAGGTGTTTTGTAAAACAGTAAAATGAAAATAGATAATTGTCCGCTGAAAGAATTTTAAAAAAAATGTAACTTTAGAGTGATGTTGTATCAGAAATCAAAAACAGACGAAAAGTTAATAATGTCCAAAATTGAAAATTATCTATGATTAGTATTATGCATTTTTATGACCATCATAAAATAAGAGCTTGTTTGTTACACTTCACTGAAAATTGTAAGATGATGGATAAGAGAAAGCTGGATAGATGATGGTAAGAATGGAACTCTGCCGGTGTTTTTGTATTTGAAGGTGGTTTATGAAAAAAACCTTAAATCTAGTTTTCATGTTACTTACCACCACCTATCAGCTGGTCGTGTTTGCAATTTTAACGAACTAATTCTATTAATAAATTATGAACTCACTCTATTCAGTATCACAAGTTCTGATCATAATGGCAACATCGATTCCTCTGTAAATACAGTGAACAGTTGCTTACCAGTTTCTGCCATCACAGAATCGATTTCCAAACTTCCTATTGATTGCGTCCAATGATTTCACATAAAATATAGTATATTGAAGTATATTCAGTCATTTGATTTTAGATATCACATTGTAAATTGATCAATAGGAATTCGATCAGCACTAAGGACTATGAGAAACATGATGTGTTGGTTTCCATTCACTGGTCAATTATCGTATTTTATTACCTTGCCCTTAATCATCGATTTGTAAAGGCTTGTAGATATAGATTAACTATGATTTAAAATAACTGTGAATAATTGTTTGATGAAGTTGATTACCACCTTCCATGTCTTGTAGTCTTTGATCAATACACTTTACTCAGTTTGATCCGAACAATAAATCAGAAAAGTTTGGACATAAAAAATATTTTGTAAGAGAAGCAGAAACAATATGTCTAAACTTTATTGAGATGGTTGAGAAAATTTATAGCTCAGGTGGATGATTGTTCAGAAATGACTGAAGAACTCACAAAATACACTACGTACAAACATTGTTCAACAGAGTGAAGCCATACTGCAACACACTTGTAACGCAAAAAAAAACGAAGAGACAAATCTAATGATCATTTTCTAAAAGAAGTGCTATCCATGCAACTTCATTAAAAAAATCAACTGGAATCGTGAACAGAAGCGAAATCAAGTGCATGAACCAATAAACGGATTATTCTACCGTACATAAAAGACATATCGGAACTTACAGCACAACTACTGAGATCAGCAAGAATAGGTGTGGCACACAAACCAACAGAATCACTTCAATCAATCCTATGTAGTCCAAAGGACAAAATGACAAAGGAAGAAAAACCAAATATCATCTACAAAATAAAGTACTCAGACTGTGAAAAACACTACATAGGACAAATTGGACGTCCTCTTCAGCTTTGTTCGCGTGAACATCAGTCAGCAGTCAAACGCCACGACATTTGATTGGAGCAATGTGGAAAAGGTCAACCTCCTAGAGTTCTACTTAATGATAATAAAGCTAAGAATATATTTCAGGAGCAACTAGATTGACAATTAGGCGACCAACGAAAAAATGCAGACAAAGTTTCTAGCAGTTGTTCAATTTATTTACTAACTCTGATTAGTGAAAAAACTAATTTCTTCACATTGCCCATACAATTGTTATGAATCTTTTTCTTGTGAATAAATGTAGAGTTAATTAAGCTATTTGTAAAAACACAGATCTGTGCTCAAAGATTATTCTTTTCCATAATATCTCGTCAAGTTTAGCTGTTATCATAACGTTCCGGAGGAAGGGTTAAGTTTCTGTTTCATACATCGTACGAAATTACGGTTTACAAATTTAGGATTATTGGCAAAAAAGTAATAAACTGTATTTAGATGTAAGTTAGACAACCAATGAAAACATAAAAGCACTAGGCAACCGATTTATCCTTCTATGAGACTACTTAACAGCTCACATCCATCACCTCGTAAACCTGAATCCGAACCAAAGACCTTCAGTTTAGTGCTAACTCTTAATCTCTAGACCACTGATCTATGATCCAATCGTGTACAAGTCTAACTTCAATCAATTCATAATCTTACGATCAAGATATTTTAAATGTTTAGAAAAATTTTTCTTTGTTTGCTTGCTAATAAACATATACATGCGTGCGCGCACACTTGGAATTTCTTTAGAAATAATTTTTCAAAATGTAATAAAGCAGTGTGTGGAATAATTTACACTTGAATGAAAATATGTGAATGATTATAAACAAAAGGCAGAAGGTTTTCTGAAGACTTAAGTCTTGTGCTTCTTTACAACTCATTCATTGAAATGATTTTTCTACGAACGAAGAAACCAAACCATATTTACAGACTCAAACCTGGTTTGTTTAGCATAGAATCGTCAAAGATGTGATAATGAGTTGCTACATGACCACCATATTATACATTTTGTTCATTGGAAATCGGTCAACGTCTATGTACAATCTAGTGTATCTAACTTATTTTTATTGCTCCAACCCTACTGGAGATTGATTACAGTACAAATAATTACACTGTGAGATCACTAAAATTAGCGTTAATTAAACGAAGCGTACGTTTCTTAACTGTTACAGAACTAAGGTCTTTTTAATAAGTCTCAACTGGCATAAAATATATATTTAAGGATTAATGGCAGCTAACCTTCAGTTCTACCATATCGTAGGAATAAGTTTTCGATAACATCTACATTATTTACTAGCTCAGTGACAATCTCTCTGTCTTTATTGTCTAAATAAAATACTTTGAATTTGTCGTGGAATTTTAGTTAACCCGTAGATTATAATTTATGTCTTTCTATTGTCTATACCATCAATACATACAACTTATCTTCCAATTTATTCGAAGCGATGAAGTTGAATTCAAATCATGTTATTAGTAATGATTATGGATAAATTTTCAAATAACAAACTTCATGATTACTTGCATGATCACATATTTTAAACCAATCAAGCTGTTTTGTTTCTTTCTACAGGTTATTGCATATGCTATGAAAGAAAATAATTGGGATTTAGCTACTGCATTATCTTTCGTAAAAGATCGTCGTCCATGTATACAACCGAATCCAGGTTTTATGAAAGAATTACACACTTATCAAGGTATATTAGAAGCAAGGTAAACTTGTTTATCTCGTCTATTTTCCTTTCATTATAACATATATATATATATATATATATGAGTATAAATTTACGTAGACAATGTAAATTATCGAGTTCATCTCCACCCTACTGCCTTTAATCTTGAAGAACAATAGTGAAATTACAAAGTGCATCCTCAATAACAAAACAAGTTTTTTTATCATCATATTTATATGTGGTAGTAACGATATCCATATCTCCCGGCTGCCCACACCGTGGAAGGTTGTTCTTGAGGAACCTGAAAAGGAAGATAGATTAGTGTTGGTGCGTGACCGCAGAGCCCAAGGGACGACTGCTCCAGGCCGGTCACGCACGGCCTTTTTATCAAATGTTTTTTGAGGATTAGCTCCGCTATTTCTGACGCCCTTAGTGGGCACCCTTACCCAAGGAGACGGAAATCCGTGAGTTAGGGGAGGTGTGACATTTTTATGGCCGACCTTTTCTAACCCTTCCTTCCTTGTGAGAAGGCAGCATCGCTGCAGATGCTGGTTGTCCGAGGGAAACACCTTACTGCTGTCACACCCCTCTGCAGTCAGCAGTACGACTTAGCCCTCAGAGCTTGAGTAGCTGCTTTTAGTCTAATCGTTCTCCAATCGACCTGCCTGTCATGGTAGGACCTGCAGGAACATGTGTTCCAGCCAGTGTAGCTCGGTTGGGTCATCATGATAGGCAAGCCCGACCACCACGTCAAGGTAGCAGCTACGGTCGGGATCCATATAAGGAATCGAATATCAATGAAATATCTTTCTTGTTATAATCTATCAATCAATCTTCAATATATGTGTCATCTTTTCAAATTGACAAATTTTTGGTTGTATCATTGTAGAAGCAGATTAAAAACAAAGATAATTTATTATTCAAATTTATTTTAATTTTGATACTGTTTGTTATATGTTTTCTAAGCTGAATGAATATAATAATGGTAAAGTTTTCATTGTTCAGAAAAAAAAGAACATTGAAAATTTTTCCAATCAGTATAAACTATCCATTTCAAAACTAGTGTTAAATATTGTCTAAAATTCCAAACTATACATTAATATCACTTTGCCTAAAACTAAACAACTTAAATGAATAACATTTAAATAGGATATTTTTTTTATGGTTTAGTTTGTGTACACTGTATTTTTGTATGTATGCGTATAGCGCATTGTATACTTAAATTTACTACAATTTAATAATAAAGAAAAGTGTAATTTCAGTAGAAATCCACTTTTAGCGTTACACATTTTTCTTAGCACTAGGAAATTCTAATAGGTAGTTGTTTTTTTTGATGATTATTTCCTTTTTCTTTACACTTTTACTATGTACTTTTATTGAATTTGAATGGTAATAGAATATGAATCTCAAATGCAGATAAGTAGTATAAGAGGGTAATTTTACTGGTCATGAGACATGAACTTTTACGGGTTAGAAATATAAACCATTATTTGTCAATTCACTAGTCTGTCGGTTGTTGACCATTCAACGCGACGACATAACCTGAAAGATCATAGGCTCACTTCTCTGAAGTCCCATGCTAAAACAAAACAACCGTTCATTACCTCTTGGTTTTCAGTTGTTGTCTAATTAAGATCAATCTACGATGTTAAACTGTGATTATTATTGTCCACCCAAATCATCTCATAGATTATAGTTGATTTAGTTATCAATGCAGAGTTAATACAGCTTCCTTATACAGACTATTTCTACATCTCCATACCAATAATTATCATATTCTACTAGTCACTAGATTTCTTAAGAAAAAATTTCATAAGTTCAAGTGAAAAGCCATGATCAATAGAGTTTCAGAGTATTGAATCTGAAAAAAATACCCATTTAAGACAATAGAAGGTGGTCGCGCAATATGGTGGATTGATTGAAGTTAGACTTGTATACCATTGAGTGGAAGATCAGTGGTCTAAATTTTAAGAGTCGGTGTTCAAAACTTGAGGTTCTTGGTTCAGTTGCTGGTTATGAAGTGGTGTGCACGATGCTGAGTAGTAGTTCTATACTAGGACAAACCGACCTTCCAGTACTTTCAGATTTTCATCAGTTGTCTAAATTATGTTATATTATATTTCCAGGCAATCGATGAATGGAAACTGTTCACTTACTTACTACATCATTATGATTGAATTCATGAAATCGATAAACAACTAGTTCTTGATTGGTTATATGATACAATGTCGTAATTGCATCTTACGATTCGCACTAGAACTAGGATTCAATTAATCTTTTATTGTCTTCACTCGTTCTTTTCACTATCGTTAAGGTTCTTTTTTATGTTCTCCCCTCATTTATATGTTTCTTGTACAATAAACAATATTACATAATGAGCTAACTATCAGATAATATTATTCAAGCGAAATCAATCTTCTCTTTATACACACACTTAAATCTTCATTCTGTAGCTTTACAAGTGACCACCTATATAATATTTAGGGCAAATATATACTACACTGTTTAGACTACAAAGGATCAGTAATTCTGTAATTTAACATCCATTTCATCACTCCGTTCATGTTTCATTAGGTGCCAATAATTGTGAGTAATTGTTATCGTTTAGCTATAAGTTATGACATATAGTCCTAAAAAAAATAATTCATACCTGTTCTCTATCATCTGTGAATAAAAAAAATGCAATGAATCAAATATGCTTTGACTATTGGTGTTGAAAACGGAAAGTGGTTAATGGATTATTTTTTTTTAAGAAAATTTTTCATCCTGAAAATTTTAAAAATATAATTATGTTGATTTGAAACATTATGAATAATAATAATAATAATAAAATTAGTAAATATTGCAAGCAAAAATTATGTTTTAATGAAGTAAATATCTAATTTTTTTCGTTGATTATTATCAACTGAATTTATTTTAATAACTATTAAAAACTTGAAAACACTAAATAGTATGACAGTTTATAGCAACACTCGTTCTCTATTCCACCAAAGATTGAACCTTAAGATCTTCCGGTCTCACAACATGCGTTTAAACTCCAGGCCATTGGAGTTGACGCCCAATTAAAATTGCTTAGTCAAGAGAACCATTTTGTAAAATGTAGAAACTAATTCATACTTTGTAAATGATGCATCTCTACATAAATCAACGTATTGTAAACGAAGCGAATAGAGCATACAGAAGGATAACGATAATAATACAGTGTATTGAGTCTCTTTCAGTATGATAAACATTTCATTTTCAATAATCGTCTTTAGTAGCTGATATTTTCCAGTGTCAGTTAAAAAATGAAATAGTCAACTTTTTTCATACATTGGTTATCTATTTACTTATTCATTTTGAATGAAATCAGTGAGAACATTCACTAGATTCATCTAATTGACTTAAATACTCTTCTTACAGTTTCTTTGTTTATATTACTAACATCAATGATCTTAGAAATATATAAAGCAGAATTGCAAATCGGATGTGAAAGTAACCAATAAAAACAACCCATCCTAATCCAGTGTGGTGCTTGCAAAGTTATAAATCCTCGTGTTGATTTACTTATTCGTCAGAACATAAAATCTTTTTATTCAAAAAAATAAATTGTGCTATTGGTGATAGACATTTAAAGGTAGTCTACAGGTTATTTTGCCTGAAACCATACAACAGCAAAATATAAATCCATACTAATAGCTACAATGCAAGTTGATCGATAAAATCTGATTATACAATACAATTAAAGGAATAGAAAAATATGACAGTAATATAAATCTATACTAATCAACATATATATGGGCTAGTAGAGATTGTTTAAATCATGAATTTGAATCAGTTTACAATCTTAAAGCATAAAGTTTGTGTTTAATGACAAAATTATTGATTTATTTATTTCCATTTCATAATAGTTCTAATCGACATAAGCCTATATTTCACAATGATGAAGTGAAGTCAATTAAACCAGGGCAGATATCAATAAATAATCAACAATCTAATTGTCTACAAAGTGTCTTACTTAATAATAATAATAATTCATCTGAAAATGAACAAGATAACAATCGATCTTTATCAATCATGAAAGTCAATACAAACAGTGAAAAATTAGAAAAAAATGTACATAATAATAATACTGTTACAAATACTAATTTAATTATAGACACATGTTTACCGACTACAAAATCTTCTATTACTAATTCGTTATCTTTAAAATCTTCAACATCAACAAGAACAACTTCATTCGCAACATCATCGGTTGTAGGTCAACAGTCCTCTTCTTTGTCAACATATAATGATGATGATAATGATGATCAGTTAACAGATACTATTATTCATCAAGATTCTCAGTTTAATGCTATCATTGATTTAGAAACTGAACTATTTGCTTATAAACGTTCAACTATTTCTAATATAACAACAACAAAACTGACTACCACTCCTTTTAATAATGATTTTTCGAACAATACTACTACTACTACTACGAACAATAATAATAATAATAATACTTCAAAACTAAATCAACTAAAACAACATTCACCATCATCATTGCAACAACAACAACGACAACAAGAGAACAATCATTTACTGATGAATGAATTATCATTAAATGATAATATTATTGAATCCTCATGTTGTACATCAATGATGAATCGACCAGTGGTTCTATGGGATTTTGATAGTAAAGACGATGAGAAAACAAAAAGTTCAGGTGGGTTTTTAAGAATTTACGATCTATGTTAGTTGATGTTTGAGTTATTTGTGTAAGAAATTTAAACCATATAGAGATAGATATAAATTGTCTAGCTGAATTCTTGGTATAATTTCAATCAATAATTGGTATCATGGGTCGAAATAGCTTACAATCGGTCACAGTGGTGTAGATGAATTCACTATTTGTCTTTTACGTTAACTATTGAGCTTCAATATTTGATTGTATGTTTTATTCTTGAAATTCATTCTTTCCGACCTTTTGATTTCCAATATTTATTCTTTATTAATACGATAATTATTTTTACTTTTTTTTATACGGAATACGGTAATTCAATTTCATCATCATCATGACAATGTAGGCTAACGCACATTTGTGCCTAGGGTTTTACATTGATCATGCATAAATTTTGCCGATCTTTGTGATCAGTATTATGGGTTTTTTTTGAGATAACTTTATCATGAACTCAATTCAGCTCGTAACAATTGAACAGTTGAGCAGTTTTGTATTCATCCATTCCTAACCGAAACTCCTCCCTGTCAATGAGTGCACCTTCACAATGTCTGACAAAAAAAACTTAGAAATAATCCTCCTTAATTCTTACTTCTGTGCAAGAGAGAGAAAACAAATCAAGACTGCAGGCCTGTTGAATACTGCCGGACGAATTTGACACTCTGATTTTATCCTGTCAGAAAACAGATAAATTGAATGAATTTCCTATGGAAAATGAAAGAATTTATTGAGAATATGTATTGATTTCACGTGAACAAGTCACTCACTAACCCGTAAGTTCTACAAACTAATCCACACTCTGTGTTCAAATTGCAACAGAATATCAATGTATCTTGTATTTTTGGATACACATTCAGCGTCATTTAATTCACACATCCACATGTTGTTTTACATGAAAATTTCAATGTTTTTTAAACATTATTATATCCTGTCCACTCGAATTCATCACAGTACAATCAATTCTAAACTCATACCTTCTCCATTATTCGATTGAGGACACTCGTGATTGTTCTGTGACCTTGAAGCTGATCACTAAAATTCCTGATTTGTTCAGCCTTATTCTTTATTTATTCTACAGAACTCCAAATTCAGGCTAACAGATTACCAGAATATTTTATTGTCAATAATATAACTATTCGATGTACTTTTCGCATAATAATTTTTTTATTATTGCTTTATATCACTTCAGAAGTTTCAATGACTAATTATCAAGGTAATTAATACTTGGATGAAAATTCTATCGACATTAAATGTGATGATATACTTTGTGTTTAACAGTGTTATTGATGATAATGATGGTGAAATGCAGTAGACAAGCGTCTGTTGTGTTCAAAACAATTGTTTATTGTGATATAATGACTTCCTTTTTTGTAAACAAAAAAACTAACCTACATATATAATATGTTCTAAATTTATATATCAATAATAAAGTACATATATATCTAATTTCTAATGTTCTTCTGAATAATAAACTTTTCTCAGTTATAATAATAATAATAATAACCGACAATCGATCTATTTAAACTTTCAGAACACTCATTTACTCTTTGTACACATCTTACAAATAAATATTCTTATCTTTGAATCATATTTCAATTAATTCATTATGTATATTGATCGGGTAAATTACTTAAGCATCTTTTTTTTAATATAACATTTTCAACTTATGGTGAAGTTATTCACCACGTGGTTCAAATGCATGTACCCAATATGGAATTCAGTAGATAAATTGTTTTTCTTTTCTTATCTGTCATGTGAAGAGGAAAATTGACAGTGATTATTTTTTCTTTTGAAGAAAACTATTGTTACTAACAACGAATTTGTTGCAATGCTGTATTTTTCGTGTTGCAAACACTTCACTGTAATCATTTGTATTGTATTGAATGTAGAGATTATTATTATTATGATAACAATATATTCTGGGAATTAGTGTTGAGTGCAGGCCAATTTACATGTATTATCTTATTGACACAAATTCCCAGGAATTAATAATAATGATCGGTTTAAGTTTACAATTTTTATAATGATGTAATTTCTAGGTTATTTCAAGATGACCATTTAAAATGATTGATAATATTTTTGTATTTTGAATGGAGTATGCATAAGTCTAACTGAACCGATTTTACAATACAATAATATTAATAGCACCAACCAAATCACACTTGACGGAGAAGCCTTAAAGATGTGGAAACTTTTATATATCTGCGTGGCACCATCGATCAACCAGGTGGATCTGATGTAGATGTAAAGCATACGGATTGGCAAAGCAAGAACAACATTTCAACATTTGAGGAAGATCTGTGACTGTAAACAGCTATCAAACAACACCAAATTCGAAATTTCTAGTACAGATGACAAAAGACCTCTTCCATAAGGTACAAGTGTTTATTAACAGTTGTCTGCGCAAATAATTCAGATCCGTTGACAAGACATCAGTAACAACCTACTATGGGAAAGAACTAATCAACTTTTATCTGTTGAAGAAATTAGGAGAAAGCACAGGAGGTGGACAGGATATACATTGTGGAAACCATACAACAGGGTCACGAGGCGATCCCCAACTTGGAATCCTCAAAGCCAAAGAAAAGTGGCAAACCGAAGGACACATAGTGCGGAGAATTAAAAACGGGCATGAAAAGAATTGGTCACACTTGGAAAGGAGAGCCTAGGACGTGGTTAGTTGGAGAATCCTGGTAAATAGCCTATGCTCCAAGAGGTGTAACAGGCGTAAGTAAAAATATACAATCCACGGATAAAATACATTCAAGAAGCTTGAAATTGTCGTTAGTATGAAAACTTAAAGCGTATAGAAAAATATTAACCAGGTGATATGAATGGATCATCAAACGCATTTTAGTATTAAGAATATTTGCTATAGAACGTTTATGAAACAACCTAAGCATCAAATAATAGTGTTTGGGGAAATTCGAGTTAGATGCCTGTACTCAAGTAGACTATAGGCAGTGAATTAGCAGTCTGTATTGCAAATGAAGAGCATTATAATTCAGTAGCCTTGTCAGATAAATATTATTATATTTTTGTAGTTGCAAAAGATATTTTAATTTTCGTTAAAGGATGGATAGTAGGAACGCGAATTGAATCTGAAACAACTTGAAGTTCATATATTTGTAATATTCTGTCAGATAAAACTTTACAATCATGTTTTTATCTATTTATCTGCTTATCAGGTGTTGTGAATAGTATAGTTGTTGCAAAAAATTCTCACTGTCTACGCCAATGGCATCCATATGTATTTGAAAATATTAGTGGCACAGATCGATGTTGCGTTCTGAACAATACTAATAAACTGCAGAAAGCTATATCACCTTCTTCGTCATTACGTACTGCTACCACTTCTCTTCAGTCTTCTACAATTACATCTGTCAGTCATCCACAACAGTATATTCATCAGTTGAATTATGCTAGTACTGTGTCATCTATATCATGGGATTATACAACTGAATTAGAAATGATGCCTTCTATGGAACATGCTAAACTATCTATTATTCCAGGTCAACCAATTTATGTTCCATTAGTTACCTATCAACTAGTTTTACACGCATCAATTATTGTCAATGAGATGAACAAAGATAAATCTGTTGCAAGTAAGAAACACATAAAAGCGGACTCACTCATAGATGATGAATGCACAAAACATTCACCTAGTAAATTATCCAATGTCCTACGCTTGGTATCAAGATCATCTGGTAAGTATGGAGGATGTTTTTTTTCTCTCACTTTCATAGAATTCTACATTATTGTTAACATTTTTCTGTGTATCCTGCTAAATATTTCATAAATAATAGTTCCTTGACGTGATAAGTCCAAATTATCTGGGTTTATTTTTTTCAGTTTTCTGAATAAACAGCTGTCCTAACTCGTAAACGAGTTCACAGCAACTGTTGAACTGCTTGTTACGATAACAAGTCTATATTGAGTTACGTAGATTTAATACAGTGAGGATGTATATATATATAATATACAAAGTAAGAAGTCTTTATAAGAAGGAAAGCAGTTATCTCTCAGTCATAATTAAAAACCATGTCAATAACAGCATATTAACATTTTGTGTAAATTTCAACCTAAATAACCTAAACGTAATTTCTACAACGATGATAATTTTGCTGGTTAAAGCCATCAATTCCAAATCAATGAATCATAAACTCGAATTTTCCTCCATTCTGTTCACTTTTGCTTCTTGACTAAACACAATATAAAATTGAATACTTAACAAACTGTACTTAGTGTTGTTAATTAATTACATGGTATTTATGAAGAAAAATCTTGTATTTTTACTAATGGCAAAAAGACTACTTATTACTTCTCTAACTTTCTCTTAAATTTCTGCTGTTTCTGTTCACTTTTTTTTTTCTTTTTTTTTAGAATCCAATTCATTCATAACTTCAGTGAATCAAAGTAATAAAGAAAAAATGCTGAGCTATGAATCTGCATTGATTCCAACGTTAAAATGCAGGAAAAATCAATTTGTATGTAATAACTTGAACACTAAAACAACAACTACTACTACTAACAGTAATACATTCATTACTGAAAATGTTGTGTCGAGTAATTCACTCTTATCTAATCCGCTTTTATGTGATTTCATGACGCAGTCAACTATTGTGACTACAACATCTCAATATAAATTACCGAATGATTGTATTAATCAATCCACAAGTAATGATACTAATGATTCAAATATTAAAACAACATTGAATGAACGAAGAAAATCATCCTATGCTGATTTGTTCATGTTAAAAACTAATCAAAATATAACTAATCATTCTGTTGTCAGATTATCACCAGAACGTTCACATTCAACTCGATCGTCTGGTGGTCGTTCATTATCAACACGTCTTCGACCTGACAATAGTTGGATTATGAATCATGATTCTTGTGTAGAAAATACTGTTATTTCCAATTCATCAGCTCCTCCTCCTACTACTACTACTGCTAATACTACAACCACTCATTCCACTATAATGAATTCATGTTCACTCGTTACTAGTACGCCAACTTTATGCTCTAAAATAAATCGTATTCTTAACACTTTGAATCAATCAGTAATTTCATCGAATTCTATTGACACTTCATTGTCATCGAATAACAATGAAAATATAAAAAATAAAACGGATCAGTTACCAATAAAATGTTCAAAATCATATAATCGAATAATTTGTAATAGTGTTGTTGAAAAATTTAAATCAAACTCTTCTATGGAATCATGTTTAACTGTCAATAAATTAACAATGAAAACAACACCTACTTCTATTACCACCACCGACAGTTGTAGTGATGAATACAATAATCGTAGTAAATTCCTTTCAAATTCATCAAATCCTATGTTAATTATGTCGAATTCAGGTTAATAATTTCACTATTAATGGTTTAATACTGTCCTACTAATAACATGAATAATAATAATAATATTTTTAATGGTAGTGATGATAGTGAAGATTTTCAATTTTCGGTTGTCTTATGAGATTCCTGCTTGGATTGCAGGCTGTGTAGTATTTTATCACAAGCTTTCATTAAAAATTATCATTTAAGCATCTGTTAAATTAACTGTAAATAACTTATTTGGACTTCCTCTTTTATATCATTCAGACGAACAGTTGTACTATTTACTTTGCGCCAACTGAGTTTTTATTGAATCACCCAAACATTTAAATAGTCACATTGCCAATGATAACAAGAATTGACCCAGGGGGTAGTCAGTCGCGGTTTAGAAAGAACCTGACACGTATGTTCATCAGTTCCATCAGTACTTGGAGATGAAATTTTTAGGGCAGATCCTAGAACAGTACAGTATTAGCCGTATCAACTGGGTTTAGCCCTTCAAACCTGTCGGTGGAAAACGTGGTACACTAAGGTATTATCACAATTGAAATCGCATTGTGTTATATCATATTTAGTCGATATTGTATGGTGGATTTGATAGTACAATAATGATATTGATTTGTTTTAAAAAAGAAAATTCAAAAAAGTGCTAATGAGAAAATACCCTTGTGTCAACAATATCACATGATAAATAGTTTTCATTAGTTTACGTTTGAAGTTTTTGTTTGTTTAAACAGAAAAATAGAGAACCAAATATGAAACTAACGTTAGTCACTGAGTACTGTTGTCCGGAAACCCTATGGTGAAATTACAGAATCTTTAGTGAACAGTCTGCAATTATGCATTTACATTTTGTTGTGTATGCTGCAATCCAAGTCGGCTCTAGACTGTCCTCTTCTGCTTCTCTTCTAGTCTACACACTGTGCTTTCAACTTTTTGAAGCTCTTCTCTTCGGCAGTCGATCGTAGCAACTTTCATGCGACGTTCCGCTGCATACTACTTTGTAACGTCCACCAAATTATGTTTGTTTAGTTATTAGCAGTGATCGATTTCTATCAATAATACAGAAGAAACTAAAGTCCTTATGAATCTCATTCAACTGAATGAGAAAAAGTTTAACACAATGGCAACAACACAGTAGCTGATAAAACTGTCGATTAAAAATAAGATTACATTGTCATTAATGTTATTATGTATATACATGTGTCTTCCCTACGCCTATTACCCCCAACGGAGCATAGGCCACTGACCAGCATTTTCCAACCTAATCTGTCCTGTGCTTTCCTTTCTAGTCCTGTCTAATTATGATTCATTCTTCTCATGCCTGTCTCCATTTCTCGGCGTAATGTGTTTTTTGGTCTCCTAAGTGAGGGCTTGTCTTGTGACGCCATATACACATATCAACTCCATCAATTCATACTCCTAAATTTTATTGGTTAATATGAGTTTACTTGTTGATTGCTTTTTCTTCTCTCTCTAACTGTATGTATTGTTCTCTAAATAGATTTTTTTCTTTCTTTGTCTTAGTTGGTGTTACTCCTGGTTCTGACTATTATCATAACAAAAATTCCAATTACCAACCAATCACTACTACTTATCGTCCATTACGTCATCTTATTAACAACTGGCCACCACATCATCCAATTGATCCAATTCAAGCAACTGAATCGTATTGTTCTTAAATCTGGGTCAATTTGTTAACGGGCTATTGGTTTATTCCATTTCCCTTCCACCTAGCCTCTGTGTTCTTTGCTCCAATTTTTTTGTATGATTTAAGTTTAACAACAATAACAAAAAAATCATTCTAAGACAAAATGGAAATTGACATTATTGATCGAGAACAACAACGAAACTGTGTACAAGGTTATTGAAATGTCTTTATTTTTGTTCATTCAACCAATGGAATACGCGCCAATAGATGAATGTTATATTCGTTGGTTAATTTGAGATCAACACAACAACAGTGTCCAATATTTATTAGTGTGTATGTATGGGGGGCACAGAGTCAATGAACTTGAGATAGATGTGTAGATACCAACGTTTCCTTTCTCATGCATCACACCTCTTCATAGTCGTTTAGTCTGTTTATATGAGAGAATTGTGTGTGTGTGTGTTTTTCTTCTTTGAATAGAAATTTTTTTTATCTAGCGAAAGTGTATACGTGTACATCAACTGATAAAAAATTTTCCATCTTTGTCCTAATATGGTGGTTATCAGTCATTTATGTTTTTGTCTTGTGAATAAGCCGGTGCTGATTTACAAAAGTGTTTATTAAATCTCATATAAAATGTTTTGTGTTGTAAAGTTTTTGTAATTAATCTACCAAATATGAAGTTGTGTTATTTCATCCTCGACGGCTAATGCATCATAAATGATTTCATGATCACAAACAATACTAACAAAATTGAATGCGCTTAACTTTTTTTTATCATTTCATAAGTTTACTATTTTAAATGTATATAACCAGTGTTAGGTAAACAGACATAGAATATTTATTCTTCTGCTGTTTATGTTTATCACTCTATTGTTTATTTATATTTCTTTCTCCTTTATTTGTTAGTTTCATATGGTGTATTTATTTCATATAAATGTGAGTAGAGAAAAACGACAACACACTATATAAGATATTGAAACGACGAAAGGTGAGTGTTTGATGTTTAGAAACAAACAATTTTTAGTCTTCAATTAAATTATTTACTTAGATATATTTGGGTATGAACCACATTTAAAATAAGAAAACTAATGAAAATACCTCAAAGTAAATGAAGTGCGGTTGGAACCTGGAATTTTTAGTGACTGAAGGTTGAACATCTTAACCAATAAGACATGTGAGTAAACAATCGTGCTCAACTGTTGTTATAAATATTGACAATAAATACTCTTTATAAATGGATTGGTTGAATTGTGTAATTAATAAGGAATTATTAATCGTGATAAAGTTCATCAATGTGATTGTTATATGAGAATGTACATTTAGTTGATATCATACAAATAATTAAAGATATTTATAACTAATTAAAAATTTTTAGAATGAAAATTTGTTGTTGAGATTTATCAACAAAAAATTTGAAAGTATCTATTTATATTATTTATTGAATGAACACACCCAAGGAATGAAGATGAACTAATGCAAAGGTTAAAAGAATAATAGATGAAATCGTATAAATCCTTAAAAATATCATAAATACTAACAAATAGGTATTTCTTCTAAATCGTTAACAATTATATAAGTTACTGAATACTGATAAGTAAGATCATACACAAGAATGAAATTTGATACGAAAGAAATCAAGGTGAAAAGCGTAAACAGAATTAACAATCTGTTTTGTAATCCTTGTTTATGCCTGTTACCCCCAAAAGAGCATAGGGCGCCGACCAGTATTATCCAACCTACTTTGTCCTGGTTATTTCTTTCCAATCCTGCCCAATTTTGTTCATTCTTCTCTTCTACTCCACCTGGAGCCCCTCCGGGGCTACTCCCTTTCCTATGCCCGGATAAAGGAGGAGGGTTGGGCATGAGGTTGTAATCTTATCCATATATAGAATAATTTCATCACACATATAGGTAATGTAATCAGTAATGAAATTTCTCTGCGCTTATTGTTGTTATGTAGGTTCAATGTATGTGTACCTTATATTTTTTAAAACAGGTGTAGTATTAATTTGATTGCCCGACCGTAGCTGCTACCTTGACGTGGTGGTCGGGCTTGCCTATCGTGATGACCCAACCGAGCTATACTGGCTGGAACATATGTTCCTGCAGGTCCTACCATGCCAGGCTGGTCGATTGGAGAACGATGTGACTAAAAGCAGCTACCCAAGGTCTGAGGGCGAAGTCGTACTGCTGACTGCAGAGGGGTGTGACAGCAGTAAGGTGTTTCCCTCGGACAACCAGCATCTGCAGCGATGCTGCCTTCTCACAAGGAAGGAAGGGTTAGAAAAGGTCGGCCCTAAAAATGTCACACTCCCCCTAACTCACGGATTTCCGTCTCCCTGGGTAAGGGTGCCCACCAAGGGCCTTTAAGAACGGAGCTAATCCTCTAAATAGCTTTCATAAAAAGGCCGTGCGTGACCGGCCTGGAGCAGTTGTCCCTTGGGCTCTGCGGTCACGCACCAACACTAATCCATCTTCCTTTTCAGGTCCCTCAAGAAACAACCTTCCACGGTGTGGGCAGCCGGGAAGTGATAACCGCCCTCATACCCGTACCAGCATGCGAGACCAAATTGTTCAAAATCAAATCCTTCCTACACCCCCTAATGTCTCTCTTATCTCTACGACTAACTGTACTCACACTCCCTTTTCTCACTGCACCGCTAATGCAGACGAAGCGAGATCACGAAACGTCGTTCCTGGTCTCTTGAAACCCCGTTCTAGACTACATATTGGAGCTTTTAATGTACGGACATTGTGTCAAATAGGGCAACAGGCATCATTAGCTAGGACTTTAGAATCTCGTGCCATCGATGTATGCTGCGTCTCGGAAACGCGCATACAGGATCCTAGTAAAATTATTAACCTGATTTCACCTTGTCAAAATAAAGAAGCAGCTCGATTTACTCTTCGTGTATCCGGTAGCCCTGATGCTGCTTGCAGGGGTCTTGCTGGCGTAGGCATAGCGTTGAGTCCTTGGGCAGAATTATCTCTCCTAGACTGGATCCCAGTAGATAGTCGTTTGTGCGCTGTCCGACTAAACGGGACAGTAAGGACTCGTAAGGATAGGGACACTCGCCGTTGCCTCTTCGTCATATCTGCCTATGCCCCCACTGACTGCAGTGCAGACGAGGTTAAAGATGAGTTTTACAGAAAGCTTTCGGACCTCCTCCAAAAAGCTAGGCGCTCTGACATAGTAATAATGGCTGGTGACTTTAATGCTCAAGTAGGTAGACTAGGTGAAAAGGAAAGACATCTAGGTGGATGTTATGGTGTAGCGACTGAGAGAACAGACAATGGCGACCGTCTGTTGCAACTATGCTCAGATAACCGCCTATTCTTAGCGAACACCAACTTTAGGCATAAGGAAAAGCATCTGTTGACCTGGCGACCTCCAAAGTCATCTCAACGTTGGACTCAACTAGATCACATCGCCATCAGCCACCGATGGAGGGGTTCGATAGAAGACTGTCGCTCGTTCTGGAGCACATGTTTGGATTCAGATCATGCTCTAGTGCGAGCTCGTATCTGTTTAAGGCTTACTGGACGTAGGAAAGACACCGTAAGGAAGCCTCTTAGGGTTTTACTTAATGATAATCAAACCAAGAAAATATTTCAGGAGCAACTAGAAAGAGAGTTAAGCAACCATGCAAGCGATTCCCATCCAGAAACAGGTTGGTATGATATCAAAAAAGCTGTGGAAACAGCAGTGATATCTGCTAGTAAGGTAAACCATGAGGCTAGGATGAAGCCGTGGATTTCAGTCGCATCCACCGAACTGATGGATGCTCGAAAACGCATCCCACCTGACTCTGAACATGATGAAGAGCGTAGTCAGCTTAGGCGCAGACTTATAAAAAGTCTGCGTAACGACCGCGAACAGTGGTGGGTGGCGAAAGCAAAAGCGATGGAAAAGGCAGCGGCGATAGGCAACACTAGACAACTTTTCCGCCTTATTAAAGAAACTGGTATTAGGAACCCGAATGTAAGTGAGACTATCTCGGAAAAGGATGGTCTTATTATCCATTCTCAATCCAGGAGACTGGATCGATGGGCAGAACACTTTAGGGATCAGTTCAACTGGCCACGAGCCACTCTTCGGTTACCCACGATCTCCAGTCATCCTGAATGCCAAATCGACGTAAGTCCCCCTAGTCTTAATGACGTTGAGAAAGCGTTAGGAAATCTGAAACGAGGACGAGCTGCAGGTCCTGATAGACTGACCCCTGAGATATTTAAGGATGGTGGTCCAGTTTTAGCAGCTAGGTTGACTGAGATCTTAGGTAGAATCTGGGAACTGGACGTAATCCCATCCGACTGGTCTCAATCCTTGATTGTCCCAATCTATAAAAAAGGACAGAAGTCTTCTTGTGACAATCACAGGGGAATAAGTCTAACTAATATAGTATCTAAAATATTGGCCTCAATAATACTTCGACGCTTAACGAAAGCTCGTGAACAGCAGACTCGAGAAAACCAGTCTGGTTTTCGACCTGGACGTGGTTGTATAGACCACATTTTCACACTCAGACAGGTCCTGGAACATAGACACACATTTAGGCGTCCTACAATAGTTGTTTTCCTAGACCTTAAGGCGGCATTTGACTCTGTGGATCGTGAGGTTCTGTGGGAGTGTCTGTCATTGAAAGGTGTACCACAGAAGTACATTAACCTCATACAAGCCCTCTACTCAAACACCACTGGTCGAGTGAGAGCTTATGGTGAACTGTCACCGGAATTCTCTACTTCAAGTGGTGTCCGTCAGGGATGTCCACTCTCTCCATTCTTGTTTAATTTTATCATAGACATGCTCCTAGAAATTACCCTATCCTCGTCTGAATTTTATGGAGTAGACCTTTTACCAGGTGGCTCGCTTATTGACTTAGAATATGCCGATGACATTGTCCTACTTGGTGAAGACGCTGACAAAATGCAGAGTCTTCTGACTACCCTAAGCAACAATGCAAGCATGTTCGGGATGCGGTTTTCCCCCTCGAAATGCAAAATGTTGATTCAAGACTGGGTTTCATTGGCACCTGAACTAGTGATAGGGAGTGAAGTAGTCGAACGTGTAGACCGCTTCACTTATCTTGGGAGTCTCATCAGTGCTGATGGCCTGGTGACTGACGAAATCTCAGCTCGGATACAGAAGGCTCGATTGGTTTTTGCCAACCTGCGTCACTTATGGCGTAGGCGAGATATCCGTTTGCTGACTAAAGGACGAGTGTACTGCGCAGTAGTTCGCTCCGTCTTACTTTATGGCTGTGAAACATGGCCAGTGAGAGTAGAAGATATTCGTAGGTTTCTGGTTTTCGATCATAGGTGTCTTCGAAGCATTGCTCGTATATCGTGGGACACCCGAGTGAGCAACGCTGTTATTAGGAATCGGGTGCTAGATAAGAATGGCAGATCAATAGATGAAGTAATGAAACTTCACCAGTTGAGGTGGTTGGGACATGTGTTGCGTATGCCCAACCACCGGCTGCCTCGTCGAGCCTTGTTTTGTAGTGTAGGAATAGGTTGGAAGAAATTTAGGGGCGGTCAAACCAGAACATGGCAGAAATCCATGAAATCATTGACTAGTGGACTGAGCCATGTCGGTAATTGTCGACTACCTGGTTGGGGTCCGCGAGATGATAATAATCGATGGTTAGAGACCTTAAATGACATGGCTCAAAATCGTTCGCAATGGCGCCAGTGCATTTATTCTTTGTGTTCTCTCAAATCCTAATCTTCTGGATTCATCAACCCCTCTAGTTTCGACTCTCTAAACTTATCTCACTGAATCATACTTCTTGAATAGTATCTTCTAATCCTAACCTCTCCGATTATTTCTAATTCCCTTACTACCTCTTCTACTATTGGATTTGAATTGACGATTACTTCTCTGTGCTGATGTGGTATGGCAACATGAACTGATGTACTTATGTACAAAGTTCTACGTTGCATCTGACTGACTGAATTTGATTGGGTCAGTCAGTTACAACGTGGAACTTCGTACCTAATGACATCAGTTCACGTTGCCATACCACATTAGCACAGAGACGCAATTGTCAATTCAAATACCATAGTAGTAGAGGTAGTAGAAGTAATCAAATAGATAAATGGTCGAATATATCATTCGAGATGTATACCCCCAGAGGAATCAAATAAAATTGTTAGTTTGACAAAAAAAACTTTTCACATAAGAATACCATTCATACTTATGAATAACGATCATGCATTCGTAAAGATTAAGATGTAATCGCGCATTCACTCTATCTTGAATGAAGAACAATAATCTTGATTAGATAAAAGTATTATGTTATATATAGGATTTTCTCATGACAGTCAGGTTAAACAAAATGGAGCGTGTCGTTTAAATAGCAACTCCGTCCTGTAGAAAACTAACTCGCTAGAAAAATGCCAGCCAAAAAAAATAATTCAATGCATTTAAACTCTGCCCTGGCAGGTAGGTCTTCATTTAGAGTATTTATGACGTCTAATGATGAAAGCCGTTTCTCCGGAAGTCACAAGACCTCCTCTGACAATCAGAGCCCTTCCATGGTGTGGGCATCCAGGAAGTGACAACCGCTCTCGTACCCGTGTAGCACACGAGACCTAGTCGGCCACAAATCCTTTCTACACGTCCTAATGACTCTTATCTCCAAACACAACCCTTCTTTCGTTTCTTTGTCGCCTCGCGCCGCTGAAGCAAACGGTTTGAGTACTCGAAACATAATTCCTGGTCTCCTGGAACCCCGTACTAAATTACATATTGGAGATTTTAGTGTTCGAACCTTGGGCCAAATAGGACAACAGGCTTCCTTAGCTACGACTCTGCAATCTTGTGCCATCGCTGTGTGTTGCGTCTCCGAAATGTGCATACAGGATGCGAGTAGAATCATTAAATTAACTTCACCTTTTTCTAATGAAAAACCCTTCCTATTTACCCTCCCTCTTTCTGGAGGCCATGCTGCTGCTTCCCGTGGCCTCGCTTGTGTAGGTATTGCTTTGAATCTTAGGGCGGAACTAGCTCTCTTACATTGGATCCCAGTAGACAGTCGCTTATGCGCTGTACGACTAAATGGGATGGTACGGACTCGTAAATATATCGACAGTCTCCGTTGCCTCTTCATTATCTCCGCTTACATCCCTACTGACTACAGCCCCGACAAGATAAATGATGAGTTTTACAGAAACCCAACTTTCTCCAAAACGTTAGACGCTCTGATGTATTAATAATGGCTGGTGACTTTAATGCTCAAGTAGGTAGACTAAGTGAAAAGGAAAGACACCTGGGTGGACCTTATGGTGTTGCGACTCACAAAACAGATAATAGCGATGTTCTACTGCAACCATGCTCAGGCAATCGCCTACTTCTAGCACACACCAACTTTAAGCATACGGAAGAAGAACATCTCTTGACATGGCGACCCCCGAATTCATCCCAACGATGGACCCAACTAGACCAAATTGCTATCAGCCATCGATAGAAAGGCACCATTGAGGACTGCCACTCATTCTGTAGCACTTGTTTAGACTCAAACCATGCTCCAGTGCGAGCGTAAGAATATATTTCAAGTACAGCTAAAAATACATCTAGGCAGTCATTTAAGTGAGGCTCAGCCCGAGGCAGCTTAGAATGATACACAAAAAGCTGTAGAAACAGCAGTGATACCTGCTAGTAAGGTAAACCATAAGTTTAGGAACAGGCCGTCGATTTCAGTAGCATTGACCGAACTGATGGATGCTCGAAAGCTCATCGCGCCTGGCTCTGAGTGCGATATGGAGCGGAGCCCGCTTAGGCACAGGCCTACGCAATGATCACGAACAGTGACGGGTATTGAAAGCAAGAGATACAGAAAAGGTAGCGGCGATAAGTAACAGCAGACAGCTATCCACACTTACCAAGGAAACCAGTATCAGTAATCCGACCATATCTGGGAACAGGATGTGACTATTAGTCATTCTCAATCCAGGTTGGATAGGCTAACCACGATCTCCAGTAAACCTAAATGGCAAATCAATGTAAGTCATCCAATTCCCAATGAAGTTTAAAATGCCACAGGAACTCTAAGGCGAAGGAGAGCAGCGGGCCTTAATGCATTGACGCCTGATGGTTTTCAGGATGGTTGGCTAGTTTTAGCAGTTAGATTGACTGAGATCTTGGGCAGAATCTGGGAAATAGACGTAATCCTATCCGACTGGTCTCAATCTCTGACTATCCCAATTTACGAGCGAAGACAAGAGTCCTCTTGTGATAGTCACAGAGAAAAAAGTCTGACTAATATATTATCTAAACTGTTAGCCTCGATTATACTTAGACACTTAACTAGAGCTCGTGAAGAACAGACTAAGGAAGACCTGGCTGGTTTGCGACCTGGACAAAGCTGTATAGACCACATCTTCACACTACGACAGGTCCTGGAACACAGACACACATTTAGGCGTCCTACAATAGTTGTCTTCTCGGACCTGAAGGCGGCTTTCGACTCTGTGGGTTGTGAATGGTTCTATGGCAGTGTCTGTCATTGAAGGGTGTACCAAAGAAGTACATTAACCTTATACAAGCTCTCTACTCGAACACCACTCGTTGAGTAAGAGCTTATGACGAACTGTCAACGGAATTCTTTACTTCAAGTGGTGTCCATCAGGGCTGTCCACTCTCTCCATTCTTGCCTAATTTTGTCATAGACAAGCTCCTCGATATAACCTTATCCTCGTATGAATTTACAGGAGTGGATCGTCTAACAGGAGACACGCTCGTTGACTTAGAATATGCCGATGACAGTTCTACTCGGTGAAGACACTGAAAAAATCCAGTCTTCTGACTACCCTAAGCAGCAATGCAAGCATGTTCGGGATGCGGTTTTACCCCTCGAAATGCAAAATGTTGCTTCAAGATTGGTTTGCATCGGTACCTGAACTAGTGATATGGAGTGAAGCAGTTGAGCGTATTGACCGCTTCACTTATCAGTGCCGATGGCCTGGTGACTGACGAAATCTCAGCACGGATACAGGAGGCTAGATCGGATTTCGCCAACCTGCGGCACTTATGACGTAGATGAGATATCCGTTTGCTGACCAAAGGACTAGTCTAATGCGCAACAGTTCACTCCATCCCTCTATATGGATGCGAAAACATGGCCACTAAGAGTAGAAGATATTAGTAGGTTACTGGTTTTCGATCATATATTGTTTGTGTGTCCTGGGACAAGTGTGTACACAGTGCCGTTGTTAGGAAACGGGTGCTAGGTAATGATGGCAGGTCAATAGATAAATTATTGAAACTTCATCAGTTGAGGTGGTCAGAACATTTGTTGCGGACAAACCAAAACGTGGGATAAATCCGAGGATTTACTGGAAACTGTAAGCCCTCACTCAGAATCGTCAAGGCCAAAGAACACATCACGCTGAGAAGTGGAGGCAGACATGAGAAGAATGGACAACAATTAGACATACTAATATTGGTATTTATAGTTCTACGGCTTTCCCGGTTTCCTTTTGCTGTAACAATTTGAAATAAGACCGGCTAAATTTGAACTGTATGGTTCCTTTTACAATACTAAGTCAACGATTTTAAGGCTAATATATGAAACTGTCATCCGTAGTTGTGACGTAGAATATAAGAAGATGTATTTTACCGCCTCGGAATTCTACTTATCTCAAAATATAACCCACCTGGTAAATCACAACTATGTACTTAACATGCAATTAACATAATATTAAGAAAAATTGGATTAATGTATAAATGAACTTTTATTTAAATAATGAATTGTAATAGCTGCAGTTAAAGAGAACATAACAGAAAGCAATCATACATACAGTCAAGATTATTCATTTTACATTCTATATACATTTAATCAGTAAAAATATTGAAAAACAAAAAGTTGTCAATGAAAGAAGCTGATGTAGGTAGATAGAGAGCATAAAAAAGAAGAAAATTGGTAGAAAACAAACAATCACATGTAAATAATATTAAATTGATGAAGTACTTTATTATTATCATTATACCCCCCAGCTAGGATAACTAATCATACAAATTTTTTGGTAGGAAGCTATAAATAAAATAAGAATGGTGAAAAGTCGTAAATATGCATAGGAAATGAATCTTTACACATCTGTTTTACAGTGATATTTAAAGGTAAATAATCCAACTGAGTAAGTTATTTAGCTCCTGATCATCTGATCAATTTATAATCACACATATTTGTGTGCATTACATTTATGATACTCAGAAAAATAGACAATAGTATACTACCTAAGAACAGGGATGAGTTAGTTGATAAAAATAGAAACAAGAAAAGTTACTAATTAGAAGGAAGACAATTGTAGCATCAAACTTCTGGAAAAAAAAACAGAAAATACAAAAATTTAATTATGCTTAATTATCTCTATGTATCCTAGTTTTTTGGATATTGGCTAACCATAGTAACGATTCTCGATTGTTGTCGTCAAGATCACTTAAATCTACTTGTTTATTTTCAGCAGTACGAGCGTGACAGCTATTCCCATTTGATTTGCTTTTTCGTGGAGATGGTGACTGTAAAATCAGTTTGCTTCCCATCAAACCTGATGTGACCTGTGCTACATGCCTTGGTACAGAAGAAACGAAAGAAGGAGGTTTATTAAAATCAATACGTTCATTGACACGTAGCAAACAACCATCAGATAATAATATACGTACAATACGTAGAATATTAACAGCATCATCTAACCCACGATGTCGTTGACCAACAAAAGACAAACCCAGATCACGTAACATTACTTTTAATGTTATACGATAACGTGATGGAAACTGATAGAAGGCACGAAATGATTTTGTCAAGTTTATCCATACACTTGCCCAACTAGGCATAGATATATTAGTTAAACGACACTGAATACGCATAAATTTACTCATGTCCGCATTACAATCACAGACAATAGCACATCTCTTGTTGGTCAGTTTGTGTCTTTTGAACAGCCATTCTTCAATTTGTAATAAGACATAAGGGAACGGTTGGGCAGCATCTACTTGAGTTTGTTGGATTTGTGTTAGATCCATGCAAAATTCACTAAGGTCTGGATGTAATTTAGGCTTACAATAAGCATGAAACACACTGACACACTTGCGTAACCTTGTATTATATAATAATATGGGAAATTCAATAATCTCATGTGGATAATCGACGTCAGTGATAATCTTCTCTTTTGACTCACAAGTAGCTTCCAGGTCAATAATTAATAAGTAGTCATAGAATGTATCAGGTGTCAATATGACTGGTTTTTGTAATTTCGTTATCATTGTAACCGGTAATTTTTTTAGATTGTGTATATCATTCTCACCATTGTTAATTATTTGAGAGTTTAAGTTTACCTCGCCAAGAACACTACTACTATGACAACCATAGCCACAACCACTGTTCTCATTATTATCTACGTCATCATCATTGATTTGAATTTCAGTATTGTGATCAATGGATTGTGCTACGCGTGCCCGCCGTACAAACTCTTGTAAACGACGTTTTAATACAGTAGCATTTCCCAACTGATTTAAACTATGATCATGCAGACAAGTGCGTAGATTATCTAAAGACATATTGTGTATACGGACATTACAATGACTCAAACGATCTCGTAGAAATACAGTCCACATTTCCGTTATAACTTGTATACCAGGAGAAAAAGCTGGTGTTGATGAGTATGGCATTGATACTAAACTGTTGGTGCCAATTGTACGACGTTTAACATCCAGAGGAATCATTTTACCATGATTGTTTTTAACAGGTCCTAAATAAAAATCACAAATCGATGTTTCAGCTAATAATTCTTCTAGATTATGTAGTTCGATATCTGATTCCGAGGATTGCATAAACAATGATGAATGTTGATCAGTTTGTAGCATTTTCGAATCTACACCACCCGTATCGTTTAGATCATAATCCATAGATTTCTGAATATAAACCTTATCATCATGTTGTTGCACATTTTTTGGTGTTTCATTTTGAAATGAATCAATTGAACTGTTAACTTCATCACAATCATTATTGAATACTTCTTGACCAGTACGATTCACATGATTACCAGCAAATCCTGATTGCATACTAAACGGTACACTGGTAGACTGATTCATTGTAGTTGAAAAATTAGAATACGATAAATAATTGATCGGAGAGTAAATAGATTATAATTATGATTAATATCGACAAGCAATGGTTATTAATGATATACAGGATTGAGGACAAATGAAAAAAGAATATACTTGATAATTATCAGGATTTTGCGACGAACAGTGAATAATTACAAAAGCAACTATGGTGTCGATGAGAATCTATATACTGGTGATTAGTTGAGGTGTGTTGTTGTGATACAACTTTTCAGATACAGATGATACTATACAACAGTTAATGGATAATAGACAGTATTCATTGAAAGATAAGATGAAAGCTTTTTTTGAACAGATTTGATAATGAAACTACATACAATGAAAAGGGAGAAAATGAATAAATTGTAAGTAATGAATAACTGCCGGTATGGTCAGAAGAACATATGATTTGTGAAAATATTGAAGTTGTATAATAGTTATGTAGAATAACTACCAGAACACTAAGCAAATGAATATACTTTGGGGAGGTAATCAAAACGAGATTGAAATATTGATTGGTTACCACTTGAAATATCAGTGTAAAATTGATTTATACCCAAATTTTTAGCATGTTTGCTAAAAAAACAATAAGAAAGAGGTTAGTGTGGTAATAACCGCTTGAAACTAAAGGGTACAATAAAAAGACATTTTGTAAAGCAGTAGACAGGTAATGTAAAAAGCTTAAAATACCAATGTATAAAATGATAACCAAGAATAAAAACAAATCACTGATCAATACCAAATAGAACGAAAATAAATAAAATTAAGAATGCTGATCATAAATATGACAGTTAACATGGATATACACTTGGACTCGAAATTACCTGGACACTGTTTTCTGACTATGTACGTTCCATAAGGTCTTATGTTTACACAAAAAGGATCTATTCGGTGTTTAATGGAAAAAACACGCAAAATTCCATCACTAGCGTATGAACATTCTTTAACTATACAATGCATTCGTTGTTCTCCGGTTGCTCGCGATCTCCAGTCATCCAAAATTGTAAATCGATATTAGTCCTCGGACTCTTAATAAGGTTTAGAAAGCATAGGAAATCTAAAGCGAGGGAGAGCAGCATGGCGTGACAGGCTTGCCCCCGAAATTTTTAAGGATGGTGGGCCAGTTTTAACAGTGAGATTGACTGAAATCTTAGGTAGGAAAGTTGGGGCTGAGCGTAATGCTGTTTGAAAGGTCTCAGTCCCATATTGTCCCAAATGACAAAAAACCGACAGAAAAATCAGTTTAACTACGTATCTAAAATGTTAGCCCCGATTATACTTAGACACTTAACTAGAACTCGCAAAGAACAGACTAAGGAAGACCTGGCTGGTTTGCGACCTGGACAAAGCTGTATAGACCACATCTTCACACTACGACAGGTCCTGGAACACAGACACACATTTAGGCGTCCTACAATAGTTGTCTTCTCGGACCTGAAGGCGGCTTTCGACTCTGTGGGTTGTGAATGGTTCTATGGCAGTGTCTGTCATTGAAGGGTGTACCAAAGAAGTACATTAACCTTATACAAGCTCTCTACTCGAACACCACTCGTTGAGTAAGAGCTTATGACGAACTGTCAACGGAATTCTTTACTTCAAGTGGTGTCCATCAGGGCTGTCCACTCTCTCCATTCTTGCCTAATTTTGTCATAGACAAGCTCCTCGATATAACCTTATCCTCGTATGAATTTACAGGAGTGGATCGTCTAACAGGAGACACGCTCGTTGACTTAGAATATGCCGATGACAGAGTTCTACTCGGTGAAGACACTGAAAAATTCCAGTCTTCTGATCCCCATAAGCAACAATGCAAGCATGTTCGGGATGCGGTTTTACCCCTCGAGATGCAAAATGTTGCTTCAAGATTGGTTTGCATCGGTACCTGAACTAGTGATATGGAGTGAAGCAGTTGAGCGTATTGACCGCTTCACTTATCAGTAGAGTCTCATCAGTGCCGATGGCCTGGTGACTGACGAAATCTCAGCACGGATACAGAAGGCTAGATCGGATTTCGCCAACCTGCGGCACTTATGACGTAGATGAGATATCCGTTTGCTGAATAAAGGACTAGTCTAATGCGCAGCAGTTCACTCCGTCCCACTATATGGATGCGAAACATGGCCACTAAGAGTAGAAGATATTAGTAGGTTATTAGTATTCGATCATATATTTCTTAGAAGCATTGTTTGTGTGTTCTGGGACAAGCGAGTAAACAGTGCCGTTGTTAGGAAACAGGTCCTAGGTAATGATGGCAGGTTAATAGATAAAGTATTGAAACTTCATCAGTTGAGGTGATGAGAACATTTGTTGCGGACAAACCAAAACGTGACATAAATCCATAATGTCATCGGAAACTGTGTTGGTAAATGTACAGTAGCTGGTTGGGGTCAGCGAGATTATAGTAACCGACTGTTAGAGACTTTGAATGACATGTCTCAAAAGCATACATTATGTGTTATCTCGAATTCCTTATGATTTGTAATGAGCTGTACTCAATGTGTGCATAGATGGAAATGACAAGTCACTAGTGCATTACTATTTCCCTGTGCTTAGCGTACCTTTGTGACGGAAAACACATGAAAATCTCAACAAGAATCCAGTCATAGAGCGCCCATCGCGCTTTCAGACTTAATAATATACCTAAGCCAACAAACCATGTGGCCACTATATACACGAAAGGTATAAGTACAATAGCGAAACTACATGACAGATTTACTTTAGGAAAGCAAAACACCTAGTTAAACGTGACAAGTCACTGAATATACCGAAAAACAATGCTTATATCCGACCTGTGAACATTAAATTATACATCTAAAGCATTGGTGCATAACAAACATATTTTTTCCCTTATTAGACTAATAATGCATCTGAACAATGCTGGTCTATTAATTGTAACCGATGATAGATGCAGCGATCGCTCCTCCAATATTTAGTTTGAAAATAAAACATTTTGGAATGGGCGATTGCAGAAGCTTAACCTAGAATATTAAAATTTGGAAAATTATTTTCTAGATTTTGCACATAAACATAAAACCTACCATTAGACACGATCCATAAACACGACAAATAGTCACCGTATAGCATGACAGCTGACCTACGAAAGCCCGCGGGTCACAATCATCTAATTCAAACCTCAATATTCAACCAGCCCGCACTCCTCGCAAAAACCAGAAAGCTGGCTTTAATATCCCATATCTTTTTCACGACCTAGTATAAAGCAGTTGATATATTTTCTCCCGATTCTTGTTCGTTAGGTACGATTCCAGGTATTTGGTAATTTCTAACGGATTGTTGTCTAGCCAACCGACTGCACTAATTGTAGTCATTTGGAAGTTATGTACGGCTTAATTTATCCCACGATTTGGATGAGTGCGGTTGTTTCAGGAAAGTATGGTTTCTGAATATAAAAGCTATCACATTATCAGGCTGGAGATCAGTTAGCTGCAATGTGGAGAATAATAAGGAGAAAATTCCATTGCTATTAAGAGTATGATTTTTGGAAAAAGTAAATAATGTATAATTTAGTCTAATAATTGATAGTGAAGATTGTGCGAGAAGACCAAAGTGTAAGCAAGGGATGGGAAACAGAGATAACAAGCTAGATAGATCTGAAGAAATGTCAATAATAACAATTAGCGATTTTCAAGATATACATCAGGCATAACCGGTCCACGAGGGATATAATAATCCGTCTTTGAGTACGCGTTTATCAAGTCTTTTCTTGAATCTGTCCACTTCGGGGTCTGCAGTCACCTCATCCGTGAAAGCAATCCAAATTGCGATGACTTAATGAGATACCTGTGTTGACGAACACAGGTGTTCGCTCTTTGATGCGCATTTTTCCGAGGATTACCTCGAGGAACGTGGCAGTGGTGTTTTGGTCAGATGCTCATGTTTTGACGTTTCGCTGTAATGAATATGCTTTATGCCATCTCCAGTTCATCTCTGATGCTCCTGTAATTCAGGGGTAATAATCCTGAATGCTGGGGTCTATCTTCGTAAGTTTTTTTTTAACCCTGTCACTTATTTCGTTACTCGTCTCTGCACTCGATCCAAGAAATTTATGTCTTTTTCAAGGGGGGTATGCGATAACGCTGTGAACCTAAAACAACTTTAAGAATAATTCTGCGGAGATGTCTTCAAGTTGTCTTCGCTTAAAGGGAAGAGTTACATTAGCCTAGCCTGCGTCCCCTATATAGTTGGAAGTGGTATCGAGGCTCCCAGTTGTTGATAAACCGAGATCGCGCTCTGAGGAGATATTAGGGATCGGGCTTTAATTGTGTTAGTCGTTTGTGGCACGTTGCGAGAATGTACATAACAAGACATTTCGAATAGTTCCGTTTTAAACCATTTCTCACTAACCATTCCTCAATAGGTGTAAGTTCATTTGAAGCTCGTCTTCACCTCTAAAGAACCTCCAGGAGTGCATGCGGTCTATGTTGAAAGCTATTGCAAAATCAAGAAAAGTTTGGATGCGTACGACCTGCCTTTCCGAAACCTGTGTTCAGCTTCAAGAAGTATTTTGTCCTGGTCCATGTACTCCCTCATTTGTTCGTTCAACGCCCTTCCATTACCTTTGATAGTATAGATAGTAATGCTACTGGTTCGTAACTGGCTGGGTCCGTCCTATCTCCTTCTTTGACGCCTGGACAAAGAGAAGCTTGTTCCCATTCAGCTGTGAGTCAGTCTGACTCTAGTGAATGCTTGAATAGGTCAAGCACCTTTGAAGTAATGGCTTTTAAACAAGACTGTAAGGAGAGTATTGTCACATCCAGATGAATTTGCGGGACGCAGGTATTTTAATTTTCTCACTACTATGTCCGGAGAAAATCGAATATTACAAAGGCCATTAAGCGGCACTATGCTTGAGCAGTACAGTAAGAATGTGTGATCATGTGAGTCCTTCTCCGAGTTGTTGTCAACAGTTGTGGGGAAACAACACGATTTTTCAGGGTGGCAAGCAACTAAACATGCCCCTAAAACGCGTA